TGTTCAATGAAATAATATTTAGATAATATATATACTACTATATAGGTAACTTAAGTATAAACTTAGATACAATTTTTACTGAGTACAGTTAATTATGTATTATCTAGTTATCTATAATTTAAAAAAATGTATATATTACTAATAATAAATAAATCTTTTAAAAATTAAAAATATAATAAACTCGTTTAACACGTCATTTTGAAAAATACAAATATAAAACGAAATTAGTATAATTGGTGTAAAATTTAGTATTTATTCTTAAAAATATAGATTTCGGTTTTGGTTTTGGTTACTCGAAAATATTTAAATTCAGTTCCGGCTAAGCTTCGGTTCCTAATATTTTAAGGATTTTTGGTTTCCAGAACTGGTGCTTAATGGTCTAGTTCGAGTTTCTACCACAGAGTAATAATAGTAGTGCTTAGTAACCAAGAATACAGTTTATAATAGTTTGCATATTTAAAATAGTAAAATATATACTGCTATGTTTATTTTTTTTTGAAGTAGTGTGCCATGGCCGGTGTTAACACAATAATTTGAAAACTCCACCGAAAGTGACAGGGCTCCTCGAAAAATCCAAAAACGCATTTGCAAAATTTAGCAAATGCGTTCGAATAAATTGATATATTTTTTTGGAATCAGACAATGTGCCAGTGAAGCTACAAAGATAGCACCGGTATGTTTGTTTGTGGATTTCCAAAGTTTGGGAGCCCTAACAAAATACAAAATTGCCTTAGCAATATGTAGCAAATTCATAACAAACTTTTGATACGAGTTGTATAATCCTAACATAATATGTCGGTGCTAACTTGACAGACATAAATTTTCGTCAAAATTTGTTATAAAAACTCTTATAAAAAAAAAAAAAAAAAAATACTATACATTACACTCAATTTTAGATTTTGGATGGAGTGAAAAAGCTTATGGTTTTACAAAGATATTTATTTTTTTTCTGTGGACAACTTTTCTACCAGCAATTTTGCTCCGATTTACAATGATAGCGCTTTTTCTAAAAGGAAATCTGTACTTTAAGAAGTTAAGTTTTTGATTTTCTCATGAGTTTTCCCAATAAATTTGAAAAAACCGAGCAAAAACGGGGATAAACGAGAAAATAGGTTCAATATTAAACAAATAATATTAAAAAAAATTGTTTAATGTATACATTATGTAATTATTTTACCATAATATGACATATATATTGTTGATAAAGCAACACTATCAACTGAACTCTGCTCAGAATTGTTTTTTTCTTCAGCAATGGTTTATCATTGCTTACAGATATACATTAAATTTCCCCTCTACTATCTTTCTAACTTCTCACCTACAACAGTAGCTGCACCCACGTGCGAAATTGATCGGCTTTTTTGACCACTTAATAAATTTATAATAAACCTCTTGTTAAATTTTCAAACATTTTTATTTGGTCAAATAATTTTATCCACAAAGTGTCTTCCAAATGAAATTTACATAAAAATATTCACATAATTAAAATGTCTATAAATAGATCAAAAATGGCTCAAATGTTTAAAAAAATAAACCACGTCTATAAAAGGTAAATATAAACTTGTCAAAATTTCAAGTCTCTAGGAATATTTTTTAACTGAATTATAACAAAAAACAAAATTGAAAATAATAAAAGCATTATTTTTGTAAATTATCCTGTTCTTTCTGAGTTTTTTTCGGTTTTGCACAATTCTTGAAAAAACTGCATAAAAAATCAAAAAAACGACTTTCATAACACCAACTGGATTAAAAATTAAACAAAAAAGTTTTTTTGTCGTTGTTTAATTTGAACAATCTTTCTAGTAAAAATATAGTTTAGCAAAAATTAAGAATATTGGAATTGGTAACGTCGCAGCCTTTCCTAAATATTTATCGTTTTACCTATAATTTTGTTTCTGGTTTTTCCTAATTATTTTAAAAAATCATAAAAATTTAAAAACTACATCAACATGACAAAATTTCCTTTCAGAAAATATGCTGCACTTGATACATCAGAGCAAGTTTCTTTTCGAAATAACGTAATGAAACACACTTAGTAAAACCAATAGACTTCCGCTCTTAATATAAACTCACCATATTATGTATCGCCACAAAACAGTAATTGAGATTGTACATGGTGATAACAGATGATTTTAGTTAACTTTATATTTGTTTTGTTTTCTGTGAAACTATATAGGAACACTAAGGTGTTTCAAAATTTTTTATCAAATGTTTTTTTCGTGATATTGTATTCCTTAGTGCTTAATAACGTTCCTTAATTTTTTTCAGATTTGGTAATTCCATGAACATTATTTTTAGGAAAAAGTTGAGTTTTTTTTGTTTTTATTTTTTATATGTGTAAATAATAATTTTATCATCACGTTTAGACCTTTAATTAGGGGTTGAAAATATTTGTAACTTATTTTCCATTTAGTTACCTACCAAGAGAATAGTTATATGTACTTGTATTGTGAGTTACATTTGATGTGACGTCAAATAAATTAATGTTTACAATTATTATGGAAGAGTATTGGATAAATATGAAAACAAAAAATTATATCTATTTGATATCATAAATTGATTTATGATATTTATATTATATAATTTTAAAATAACATTGGGGTACAACGGTTAATCGCTTCCTAGCAGTGTACCCCGAGCAACGTCTATCGGCCAACATATGACGGCGAAAGATTTACCACCACCGGTTGCTGTACTGTTTTTCAAAACTCACAGCAATTATGAACATCACGAGCACAAATAAAAATAAAACATTGGGAAATTGTTTGTTTGAAATCTATCAGGAATGCCACCAAGAAATAGAAAACTTAAATAATTAATTAAAACGCAAGCGATATGTATAAGTACGAGGTGTGATCAATAAGTTCCTGAATTGTTTGAATTGCGCGCCAACGGAGGATCGAAGAGCAATAGGAATTAGGAGCGATATAACTGGTATCTGTGAATTTTCCTGAGCACATCTGTTTTTTGTAGATTCTATAATATAACCTTCGGCGTTTTGATGTAACCAATATTTTTGTAAATTATGTTTTGATATTTGATCACACCTCGTGTATATTACCTATATAGCTGTGGTTGTACATGACTGAACCTCGTTGCCGAGAATTCTGCCGACCGCTTAAAAGTGTTAAACCGTGTAAAATACGTATACATGCATGTATCTCGATTACAGTTGATTTTCTATTCGATAAACGCAATAACGTGTTTCAGCGTTATGTTTACATATATATATATATATATTATATTGTAGTCATATAAAAGCCGTGATCCCATCCGTCCGCCTGCCTCTAACGCTTTGTTGATTTTCCATGGCAACCAAATATAAAATAAATAATAACTCATCGTAAAATTATGATGGGCATACAACTAGTCAAAAATATCAATGTATACCATACCAGACAAAATACTTCTGAAATCAACTGAAATCAACTGAACTCCGCTCAGAATCGTCTTTCGTTAGCAATGGTTAATCGTTGCATACCCTCTACCTTCCCAACTACTCACTTACAACAGTGTCTGCACCCGTCCCCATTATCCTAGGTGAGCTCTTTTAAACACATTTTTGTGTAGGCAATTAATGCTTCAAGTTTTTTATGTGGTACCTCGAAAGATACGGAATATCTACAATAGGTTTATGTTTATAATTATATTATATTGTATTATTATGTTAAAAGGGCTCAGTCAATAAGGTACATATAAAATTAAATTTCTGTTTAGATAAAAACTAGAAAATCGATTTAAATAAAATACCACCAAGGGAAAAATCCGCTTCTCGTGTATAAGTGAGAAAAATGTAGAGCATTTTTAATTAAAAAAAAAAAAAAACTCGTGTTTGACGAGAGTAAATAAACGGGAGTCTTAATTTTTAGTAAAATGATATAAATAAATAAATGAATAAGTATGGTAGATCTATAGCTTTATTTGACATCTAAAAGAAGTATAAGGATAAGGCGAATTTCTATGAAAAAAGAGTTGGGGTAGTAGCTATTCTGCTGCAATATTTTTAAATGTAAATACTATACGGCGCTCTAAGAGACTTTAGCCTCCCCCCCCTCTTTGGACGTACTATATGTATACGAATCTGTGCGATTTTCAATACAAAATACGTTTCAACGTTTGTCGGACGAAAGTTGAAAATCGGTCTAAACAAGAGAACGCATTCTTAAGATATCGGAAACAAATATAGGTGTAAGTACTAAATATTATATATTATGCGTATTTTGACGTTTGTTGTCTTTCTGGAAAAAAAACATTGTGGCCCCTACCCCGCGTCATTTCGGATTCCATTCGCGCCTGCATGTTTTGTGCGCGGTTTTTTTTTTCACGCGTCTCTTTGTAGTTCTCTCGTTCTTTCGCGAGATGATTCCAAGCAGAACGCGTATATAGGTGTGTATGTGTGTGCGTTTGTGTGTGTGCAGAGTGATTGCGGCGGCGGCGGCGGCGGCGGCCGCGGCGACGACGGTCGGTTATATTGTCTGAAAAGTTCATTCCCCCTACCCGCGTATATATACCTATACAATATTTATGTATATAATACGAGAGACCAATAATAACGACGGAGAGGAGAATGCGCGCTCTCACACACACTCGCGTGTACGCATAGATAGATACGTGTGCAGCGCGGTTTGCAATTACTATATACGTACGTATAATACGCGCGTATCTATACGTACACGTCCGTACTAATATTATTATACAGATACTATTATATACATATGTACATATATACCTATACCTATATATATATATATATATAGGTATATACCGCGATCGCGGTATAAACCCGCGGCAACCTTGCGGCGCGGAGTGGCAAAGACCGGTGTGTGTGTGTGCGTGTGTGTGTGTGTGCGCTCGCCCCGTAAAGCGGCCGGCCGGCCCGGCGATCAGCTGACGGCGGCGCGGGCCGGTAAGCGGAGGCCCGAGACCGTACGTACGTACCGGCGGCCCGCGCGACCACGGACTGCGACGGCGGCGAGGAGGGCTAATGCCATCATCATCTTCCGGAGACGACGACGACGACTCCTGCCCGGACGGTCATCAAACGCCGAGCTGCAGAAAAGAAACCGCGCTGCCGACGCCGCCGCCGCCGCCGCTTCCTGTCAATGCTCCTGTGCGCGACGACGAGACCGCGTATACCCGTACCTGCCGCAGTAGCCGCGCGTCTCTCTGCAGCTATTGCCGCCGGTCCGTCCGGGAACACGACGGGTCATTGATTTCGCTCGGTCCTGTTCGCCGCAGTCGTTGCGCCGCCACCGACGCCGACGTCTCTGTAAACACTTCGGCCGAATATCGTATTATTATTATTATTATTATTATTATTTTTATTTGTTTATTTTTTTTTTTCCACTATAATAAATATAGCCCGTTATTAATTTTCCCGTCGATATTTTTTGACCATAATTATAACACTATATTATAATATACCACTGTTACATACAAATATATTTATATAATATATCGTAAAAAAATAATATAATAATATATGGTAGATCGCTATCGGTAAATAATAATAGAAAAAAAATAGTTTCGTACAATCGGAAAATTTTGGAAAATTTCGTCTATCGGCCGATAACTCGCGTTCAACGGTTCGTCGTCTGCCACACGGGTAAGTCGTACGTTAACGTTATACACACCTGTATCCCTCCACAGTAAATTATTAAGTATTCACCGGGGGGAAATATTATATTTCGTTTTTATATCGAAATATTCATTTCGCGGGGTTTTCGCGGAATACGAATTCGATCGCCAAAAAATGATAAAAATAATGTTTCGACGTTTACAAGAACGGAAAAATAAATCCGTTTCGTTTTCATAAAGTTAATTATTGTCCTAAAGATTGCGCAGGTTGCGTAGTCAGTCGTCTCGAATTAACGTTTGACGATAAAGCGGTTCAATTTTTATAAAAAAAAAAACACAGGTGCACGCGTCTCGAAATGGTATATAAATTTGTACGCTCGCCGGACTATACACTTCCTGTACTTTCGTGCCAGTGTTCACTGAAAAAAAAAATTTACGTTTTAAAAGGTGTCGCAAATTTCGCGAATTTTCAACTTGATTTCCCGCGGCATATAACTTGCGATAACAAACTCGTTTTTTTTTTTTTATAATTTATAGGCGGTTACCTGTTATAACATTATACACGTTTTTACGCGCTTGACATTTTGTTTATAACGATAATATCATTGCAGTCCGTTACACGTATTTGAACCGGAGGAGAAGAAGAAGAAACGGAACCGCGCTGTTTTTTTTCCTGTGTGCACCAATGACCGTCATTCCGAGACGAACTGCGTCATGCGGTTGAGGAGACATCAACGACAGTTCAACGAGAAAACGAATATTGTTTTGCCGATTTGCACCGCCGGTGTCGCATAACACTACTCGAATTAACCGCAGGCGAAAAACAAGAAATAAAAGAAGAATATTGTCGTCTCGTATACCCGAAATCATATAATACTCTTATCGGCATTACAATAACAATATTCGTCGCGAGATTAACGGGACACATCGAATCCTACAGGTGAATATTATTTATTAATTATTATTATTATTATTATTTTTTTTTTACGATAATTTATTAACTTTTCAAACGTCTTATTACCTATCGAGTAACACGACAACACGCATATATTATATTTAATATCATTATACCTAATCGAAAAATAGTCTATTATTTTATCCGAAATCGCGATCTACGTATATAGACGACCCCGTATTGGTGTACAATAATATTTCACGTTGAGTTTTTACGTAAACTGTATTCATAGTAACGATTTGCGCGAATGTATTATTTTTAAGTCGTATACCTACGTACAGTGGCGTGATTTCGTCCGATGCAGTTTGCCTGGTGCGATTGCGCCAGCCCTTAAGGCGATGATTTAGAGTTTGTTTGACGTATATTTGAAAACTTGAAATTGCAATAACGGGTTATGTGCCAATTGATTTCTGCCAGTTAATTTTGAATTATTTTCGTTATAATCTCACCAGCGGTTCCGGCGCATAGTTCTCACGTCATTTTGTTGGGCCTTGCATTCACTACTATTATGGGTCATGAGGTTATTGGCAAGGTTTATTGCTCAGTTTTTCAGGTCTAAATCAATTTTTTTTTGACCCTTGGCACGTCATTGATTTCAAGTTTTCATTTATTAGTTTTTTCTTTTTTCATGATCTCGCCAGGGACTGATGTTTTGTCACCACGTCGCTTTTTTCAATAAAATAAAAATAAAAAATTAATAAATCCCAAGATTTTAAAGTATATTCGCGTTCATATATGATATTATATTATTATTGAAATGTATCGAGAAACGCGTATTTTATACATATAAATATGTATCGTAATTCTTTCGACAGGCGTAATACCATGAAATTTTATTTTATAGACGGTCACTTTTATTGACCTCAGTTGCCATAGGTAATATAATTGTACGCAGGAGAATGACCCATTCATTGTGGTTCTTCCTATTTTTTTTTTTCTAAACGAAATTCTTTTAGCAAAAAAAAAAAAAAATACAAGTGGATACTACAAAAACGTCACAAAAGCGTCATATTATATTTGCTCGGATTTTCGTTTTAATTTATACCTGTATATTATTATTAATAAACAACTTAGTTGTAAGGCATCAACGATCCTAACACCGCCGGGACGAAATCTCGTTGATGTTATAATATTGTATCATTTGTTGTGATGAGCGGACAAGGAATGATGGTTTTTTTTTTTTGTAAAACTTTTCTACCAGAAATTTTGCTTCTATTATAAAGTATAGCATTTTTTCTGAAAGGAAATTTGATCTTAGGAAGATAATTTTTTTGATTTTCGCATGGGTTTTCATATTAAATGGAAAAAACCCGGGAAAACACATGAAAAACGGGAAAATTTACGAAATATATAAAATTCGAATCATAAATATTACGGCATTTCAAAACATGTACAGCTGAACATGCTCTCAGAATCGTTTTTAAAGCAATGATTAATCGTTGCGTACAGATATACATACAATTTCCCCTATACCTTCCTAACTTCTTACAGTGACCCGCCTATCTGTCTTTCTGTAGAACAAGTTATGTAGTAAAAATTTGTTAATGTAAAACAAACCGGAAAATGCTTTTAAAATTGGCTTTAGAGATGAAACACTGGCAATACAATTTTTTAAATGACAGCATTCCGAAGAAAACTAAGCTAACAGTTTTTAAAATAATAATAATTACAAAAGTAATCATTTTTTTTTTCAAAAGGCCTTTTCGTTTTTACCCGTTTTTTCGAAATCACACGACAAATGCAGCCGTGATAACTTGAGTAATAATATAATAAAATACCATATATAATAAAATTACAGATACCTGTAAATTATAATGGCTCTGTAACATGTAAATGTGTTGCACAAAAACATTTTGTAATGAGTCTGTAAATTAAAATATAATGATAACACTGGTTACCGGATAAAATAAACCATTTTTATTTGTTAACCCTGAACTACGGCTGTCTTACTCGAGTAGGTAACAGAGATCTGAATAACGATAAGTAATAAAACTGTGGCATTTTCCTCCAACCAAAACAAAAATAAAAAATGAATTTTATTATTTTGTTATTAGCCATTAGGTTAGTATCTGAGTCGTTTGAAATCTACCCCATCAAACTCAATCAGTGGATTCGACCTATTCCGGATATACTCGTATTTTGGTCTCATCACCTCACTTATAAATTCATCATCACTTAATGATGATCAGGATAACAAATCCATAATTTAAGTTAAGTTATTCAAATTAAGGTATAGGTATATAAATTCAGAAACAAAAAATCGATCAGAAATTTCGGCCATAAAAACATTGATAAAATTGTAATATCGATCTATAAATCGTTCAGCAAAGAATTACAGATACGAATTTGGTTCTGTAAATTATAGTCAGTTGCAGGTCTGTAAATAGTTAACAGGTTTGTAAATAATACAAAACGTTCGAGCAACACCCGATCTGGTTTACAGATCTGTAAGTGCGCTAATGGTTCTGTATGTCCTTACAGAACGTTTGTGCAACTCAGTCTTACGAACTATTATATATTTTTCGTTATGAGCAGAATGATAATCAAGTTATCGCATTAGAATAATTAGGAGAATGTCTCAGAATGCTTTTGCCATATGATATAATAACAGACTTTTTTTTTTCTTACGATTTTCAATGTTTATCGAAAGGACTATAAAGATAGTTGCCTAAATGAATAGTAATTATTATTTAATAGGTATTTATCTACTACCGCAGGTATCGATGTATATTAGTATCCTACATAATAATTACAGTATATATAGAATATTAAACTAATAGAGCAGAAACAAACGATGGTGATTAGTGTCAACGGTATATAAATAGCATTAAAACAAAAAAATAAAAAAATTAGTGTCAACGAATTATAATAATATTATAATGTTCAGTTGATTCGTTTTTCATTATCAATCGGTGTAGTATATTTATTTTTTTTACCACCAAAATAATAGTATATTTTATGGCTAAGTAAAAAAAAATATATATATATATAAGTATAATATTGTATTATTTAATGGGGTTTACTACCTAATATACCGTGATCCGTGAGCTGTAATAGAAAAATGTATTATACAAAAAAAAAACTACCTAAACGCGATTTTTTTTTTCTTATATTCCTGCAGTCGTTTTCCGTCGTATTCAATACACGTTTGTATATAGTAAGTTTATAATTAAATCGCGACATTGTATTCAATTCCGATCGCAATCGATTAAAAAAAAAAAAAAAAAAATGCATACATATAATAATAAAAATAATAAAATGAAGATTTATTATATATATGTATTAATTTATTATCTATATACACTTAGATCTTATATCTGCAGCACTATTTCGGGTTATAAATTACCTGACTTAACAATACATTTTGAAACAAGTCAATAGATATAATTTAGACGTGTTTTTTTCATCATATGAACGCGAGAAACACATTTGAAAAAAGAGCTGATCTTGGGACGGGTATGCGACTGTTGTAGGTGGGAAGTTGGGAAGATAGAATAAGTACTTAAATATGTTTAATTTATATTTAATATTTGGTTTTTCATACGTTTTTTCCTACAATTTTTCTCAATTATTATGAAAACCACTTTAAAAATCTAAAAATTATCTTGCTTATTGCTTCATCAAGATCGATAATTCAACAAGAAAGTCTTTTTTTATTTTTTGATCATAGAAAGATTTCTAGTAGAAAAGCTGCTAACAAAAAAAAACACAATAACAATAAAAAGCTCATATCATAGAAAAACTAATACATTACACGCTCTGCTCAAAATCTAAAACACCAACTGCAAGGGTTTTTTTTAACATCGTCACCGTACGCTGCAGTAAATTTAAACTCAAATATTATTAACTGTAGGAAATTTGTTGATTCTAAAATCACAAATAAAATAGCATAATATAATAGAAACACGAACGGTGACGGTTAAATGATTTTGTCACTTGGAGGTATTTGGCTGATTTTTTAATATTTTTGACTAATTATTATTATTAACATTATTATTTTTTTTTATTTTATAAATAAATAAGTAATATAATACTTACCATCGTAAATATTACAGGAGAAAAGATGACGAGGGGATATGTACCCTCAACACCCGTTTGACCTCCCTTGAGATTGAGAACAATATTTTAAAAACAGCTTACCGACGGTAAACCCAGACAGGTCGAGCCCTGTCTGTAACAATATTTTTATCCGACGTATATTAGTATACTATCTAGTACATTCACAATAAATAAATAATAAAAAAAAAAAAAAACATAGGTATGTATTTAATATCGTGTATTGTGTCTATTATACAGTTCTTATAAATTTTGAATAATACGTTTTCTATATATGAGCGTTAAAATTAATTTTTAGGAATTGAAATACATTTGATCTTCATAATCATAACCGCGTATATTGTCAGTATGTTATTATAATATGCATATCCGTCTCCTTTTTACTAACAATAATTATGATCTTTATAATTACATGTACAGCCGATATTAGGTATATATTGAATGCGATTTCTCTCTCCGAGGAAAGTAGTGTATACCTATATTATATGTTATTTTATTATTATTATTATTGTGGTACACACGACATCCGCGTTCAGTTATAGATCGCTGAATTGCTAAGACCACTGCAGACTAGGTACCTATATGGGTAACCTTTGTAATACAATATTGTATTATTGCTACACGAAGACAAAACAAAACAAAAACAAATTATTTTTACGCCGAATCAAAATGATTCTGTATAATGCATAAATAATAGTCGTCATCGTAGTATTGGTACCTACGTCAAAACTATTTATTAGGATACGCGGCGTAACGTTATATTGTTTGAAAATTAATAATATAATATAGTAACTCACAGTTAACCTATAAAGTATATAATAAAATTATCCATATAGATATTATCGGACGGGAATAAAATATTTAAAACGGTTTCCATTATAGACAATTTCACGAATATTAATTTCATAAGCGATTTCTAAATCGACATTTCTCAAAAACTTAAGAGGCCCGTCTCAGTATATTATGCAGGCCTTTGCCGTCTCTGTTCATTATAATAATATAATATATACATTGTAAATATTATATATATATATATATCAAAAATGTATTCATTTATTAAAACAAACAAATTTCGAAAAGACCTTTGCAATCGATTTTGTAGAGCATTTTGTAAAAAATCTATTTATTATTGAATCGAAGACAATTTCTCCGGAGTTTCTTTTTATTAATTTAGTTAATTCGGTTGTTTAAAATACGTAAAATACGATAATTGTTTCTATACCTTTGGCAATGATAATACAATTCATTTATTAAACAGACTGTAGAGAATTGTATAAAATGTCAACATGATTGTCTTCAAAGTGCTGTCATCCACAAATAGTAGAAATACATGTTTTATCTCTAAAACTGATTTTACAGGCTATATTATTGTTTGTTTAAAACGATTAACGTTTTAAACGATTTAAACGTTTTGCTGCATTACAGCCCATTTATAAAAACATAGAGATAGCAAAATATCCTATTTTGACGGCTTTTTAAAGTTAAACGTTTATAATATATTATCTGCGGTCTGTTATGCAAAATCCGTAATAATCCGACATAAAGTCTATTATAATATTATTATATGGCTTGTCAGTGACGATTATCAAAACATTATAGCATAGGATCTGTTGTGCTGCAGTGTCCTACAAATATAATAAAACTCGAACGAAATCTCCAATTTCCTGCGTATTATATTATTATTATTTTTATTTAGCTTGTATATTATTATATTATATTTTCCTTGTCATCGTCGCGGCATCTTATATATTATTGCAATCTAACGACCGGTCAACGAACTACGCGGTCGATATTATAATATTATACACATATTTATTTTTTTTCGTACATATCGATTGCAGAAAAAAACACGACTAAAAGCCGTTCCGAATCTAAAATCACGAAAGCCCACCACCGCGAGTTAGGTATACATTATATTACGCAGGTGAATTCGTCTCGTGAGATGTTCCGCAACTATATAGGTATAATAGTATTATATAGGTATATATAAACGGTACATTATCTTTATCGTTTGCGTCGTCTCGAAACCAAAAAATAATTTTTTTCACGTGACTACGACGATGTATTGTTTGCACAGTTCGTTTATATACAATTATTATGTATTATTGCCTATATATACAAGACGATTAACGGCGAAAAAGGGAACCATTTGTGTGTCTATAATTTAAGGAAAACGAGCGCGTACATGGTAAAAAAATATTATTAAGTGCATCATTGTGAGTTAAATAAAAAAAAAACACAATATAAGAAACGAAAAATTACTCCATGAAGAAGCGACTATCTTCATAACAGAAAGCCAGCTGATCATCAAAGAAGCACTGATCTTTATCAAGACTACGATGGACGACAAAATACAGCTTCTCAGCTTCTAAATCATTAGTTTCTCGTTGAGCGTCTTTTTAGCTATCGATTCACCCATTTCCTCAAACGAGATAGTTCATCAAATCGACAACATTATTATCTCAATTCAAAAGACAATCGAATTCATATGGCTCCCTATTCTCATACCGACATTACAGGAAATGAAAAATTACATTAGCAAACGAAGCAATTACTTGTCTTACAAGTGGAAATACACTTTTGTAAATAAAAAAAAAATATAAATATTAACACAACTAAGACGTGCCAAATATCTTGGGATGAAACACAAATCATCAACTATTAATCATTAACTTTACATATACTTATGTAATAAAATACGAAGAACAACCCCACTGCAGCTAATGTGACAGAGCTTTCACAATAAAATACATAGTCCTACAATACTGTTTGCTATTATCACCACCGCTGATACATCCTCAACCATACAACAACAATATAAGAAGCATTTGGAGAACGTACACACACGTAATTAACAGCTTTTTCAAAACCATCGGCCTCGATATTAAAATTGTCAAATCCTTTTAAATAACTAAAAATACAAATGTATGTTTATACGAACCTTACAAGGTAAATTATGTATTGTTAGGCAAATACTAATCACTAATAAATTTATAATGTAATCGTTGGCTAATCTAGCAGTTGAAGCCTTATTATCTATAAATAAAAAGTAAAAGAAAAAAGAATTGAGAACATCCATTGTGTAACTATAATATAATAGATTTCGATAAAAAAAATAAGCAGTTAAAAAAAATCACAATTTTATAAAATGTATAGGCGTCACAAATATCTGACATCCGAAATAAATTTTGTTCTGTTCAATAGAGTATAGTATTTATTTTTTTTATGATAAATAGTGGAGCCTAGCACTAAGATTTTTCTATTTTCTATTTTTATAATTTTTTTTAAAACTACAAATAAATAATTTCAATTTTTAAAAAAATTGTTTTCACAAAATTTAAGACAGCCACTTTATAAATATATTTTAATGTTGTAGATTTTGAAACGAAACATCAATGAAAAAAATATTTACTAACGATGAATCGTGTTAATTGTCTACAATTCTTTGAAATTTACGATAGTTTAAATTGATTTCATTGCCACTACTAAAGTATAATATCAATCGATTTGTCAATTTATCCATGAAAAATAATTTTCTTAATAATTTTTGTAAACTTCAAGAAATTGTAAAGTGTAACGATTCGTTGTTTTTAAATATTTGAAACGCCAAAAATTTCGTTTCAAAATATATATTTATACGATTTCCCTATATTATCTTGGACTTCGACAATTATCATTTATCTTTTAAATCTATTGTCTTGGATTTTTTAAAAACATGGTTTTTTTAAATTTAAGTTTTATGAAAATATAAAATAGAGGGGTCGTAATTCGTGAGTCGAGGTTCTAGAAATCATACGAAAAAAAAACTTAAAAATATCGAACAGAACTAATGTTATTTCAAGCGTCAGATCTTCATGTTACACCCTGTATACTGCACTATTATAATATACGAAACCCGCGCGTCAATTATATTGTATAACTTGAAAACGAATCATTAGGAGTCGAAGAAATTGACTACTAATGTCCCTTCGAATGCATAAATTCGTGGGGTTTTCGAACGTAATTTGCTCGTCGTCGTAACGAAATCACGAGACCAAAAAATAGTACCACGGATATAGAACAATACCTGTATAAAAAACGCGCTAATATAAAACTACGTTGGGTGTTTGAGAATCTAGTCAAACAGGATTTTTACACGCCGACGACCGTTATATTCACTCACTTACATTATATTATATTATATGTCCGTTATTATAGGTATACACATACGTAACAATATATAACTCGCGCGGACGAGAAGTAACAACTGGTCGCGGTAGTTACTCGCTGTAATACTATTATTTTATCGGAAATTCTATACCTATCTGTAAGTTTTTATATACATGGCAACGCGAACTAATAACGTTTAATTGCGTTCCCATACCCGACGGATAACACTCGTGATGAGTTTTTTCGTTGGTCGACACGACTCTGTTATCTCACAGTAGAGTTTTTTTTTCTACTACATCGTGCTATAATACTGTGTTCCTGTACAACCGTTCCGATCTCGCGGACTCTCACGGGGGTTTTAAAATCTGTTTCCACTATAAGGTTTAAAAGCCATTTTTTCCGCCGTCTATAGGATATACATATTGTTTACGCAAAATATGCGTACGTACATTCATGATATAGACGTACAGGATCGGCGGAAATTGTCCGGAGTAATCTGAAAATCTTTCGACCCCCATTACCCTCCCCCCAATACCCCACGTCCAGTTCTCTCCTTTATTAGGTCACGGTGAATAGGTATAAATACAATATTATAACGAAATTCGGGACGACGACGACGGTGCCGCCTCCTCGTACGTGGCATCTATGTAGACGACTGGGAAACAAACGGTATTTCGACGTTTTCGCGTTTTTCTACGACGGCGTGTACGCACGAATAATATTCTTACCCGCCTATAATAATAAATAATATATACGATTCCGTGTAGTTGTAAGTAGCATTATAGTAACAGTAGTACGAGACCGCGGAGTCGTTGCTTTATATTGTAAAAAAACGTTATACATGACTGCGCCAAGAGGACCGGGCACGACCCAGCGGCGGCGGCGCAAGGTCATTGAGATTTCTTTTCGACGTGTACCGTTATGATTCACACTACACCGTTGTGGTCGTGTGTACCGCGATGATGTCCGTACAGAAATAATAGTAATGATAATGATGATAATAATAATAGTAATATCTTCCTGGTAATACACAAGTTTTACTTCTTTGCTTCGCCGCAGCCGCCGCCTCTCAGTCGAAATGAACGCGTTTTTTATTTATTTTTTTTTTTCGTCGTGCTTACGTGTAATACCTATATACTCGTTTTTAAGTATCGCACGAACGTGTACCCATATATGAATTGGTGTGACACGTACGATCACGTCCACACAGCGTATATACGGCGAGACGGCGACATTTTTTAACGCGGTCGTACCTATATACCTACATAATATTATTATACGCGCAGTGCATACGGATAGTGACCCGGTATTTAAATTTTAGGCGTATTGACCCACCAAATGGGAAGTCTTACGGTAAGACGTGGCTAGAGGTTTTATACCCGTGTGGACTTTGTTCTTTTACGTGGTAACGTTAGATAAAAAAAAAAAAACGTGGGAAAACTATAGTCAAAAACGAAAACGAATCACGGTTGCCACGATTATTGTGGTTGATGAACCGTTAGTCGTGACCATTACTGATTAGAACATTAAAAATAAAAATAACCGGATAAATAGGTACTCGAATTTCGGAAAGGATCCACTCGGTCGGGTTACCCTGCAGTGCTCGTCATCATTACGTGCGTAGATATGCATATTTTTTTAATTTTTACAAGTGCGAATTTTGGTGCTGAACGTCTGCTGCGGCAACAATAACGCTCGCGATTGTTTTTATAATTTGTGAGAAAAAACGAATCTATAAAAACCAAAACCATGCGGTTCTATGTAGGCGTATCCCGTTTCATTATCACGGTCACGGCGCATTTCCGCGCACTTCGAAACGCCGTCAGAGTGTGTAAACATAACTATAATATCGTATACCGCGAGCAATCGAGCTCTACGGTTTTTTCGTTATTTGATCGATGATCGATCGATCGCAGTATTATTATATCCATAACCCGAAATACCGAAACTTTTAATGTACAACCGTAATATGATATTATTATTGCCTTATATACGTTATTCGTATCGTATTACGGGATATAGTGACGCGTTCTCCGAGTCAGTGTAAATATTATAATACACGAAAATGGTACACTGACGGCGGTGACCCGATAACTATATTAATGATAAGAATATATTATCGCCGTTATCATTCGCGCTATTGTAATGTATAAGAGCGTATAGTTTTGCATGCGAATATAACCCATATATTTTGTATATTTTAAATCGAATAATAATAATTGTATGCTGTTGAAGTATTTTCGCAACATATTGTATCTATATATGAAGCTTTTCACGAATACTTGCTATTCGAATAATATATTGCATGCTTTTCGATTAATATGACATAATGTATAGGACTTGTTATTGGCTTGTCGTAAAAAAAAAAACCGGCTAAAAAAAAAATATTTTTGTTTAATATATAAATAATGCTGAAATAATCTTTTAATAAAGTGTTGATATGTAAATCGAATTATAATAATGGTTAATTATAAATAGAATTTTATTCTAATTGTTTAGAAACAACAAAAATGACAATTTTAAAAAAACGTTACTTTTGGTCCAAGAAGATCTGTTTATTTTCATTGATATTTTAAAATTAATAGGAAAAAATCTAAGTATCTTCGCTCTTCAGAACATATTAGTCATTTTAATTTAAATTCTGAACGTTTAAAATATTTTAAACAAGCGTTTAAAACACTTCACAACTCTGGGTACTATATATATATATACTAATTTAGATTTGGAGTGTAATAAGGAATGTATTGGTTTTGCAATGAGGTTTATTTATTATTATTTTTTTAATCTGTGAACAATTTTTCTACTAGAAATCTTAGTCCGATATTCAAGAGTAGTATCTTTTTTAAATGGACATTTTAAATGGGTGATACTTTAATGAGCTCATTTTTTGATTTTTCAAGCGGTTTTCATAACAAATGGAAAAAAACCGGAAAAATTTCCGCACATGTATAAAAGAAACTTCGCTCTGATTCGTTTTTCATCAACAATAATGGTTTATCGTTGCGTACAGATATAAATTAAATTCCCCTCTGTATCTTACCTTTTCAACTTCTCACCTACAACAGCGGCCCACCCATCGTGCGAAGTATGTCCGTCTTTATTTTATTTAATAACACAATTTTTCAGCACATCAGGCGATATTAGGTACAACTATTTTTTTTTTTTTCTAGAATAAATTACCTATATTAAATTATTTACGACATGAATATGATTATGAAACCTAAGGATGGTAATATGAATAATAGTATACTTGGCGTTGATAGTAGGATTAATATAATATTAATATAATTATATAATAACAGCAATAGCAATCAAATTGTAGTATTAGTACTTGTATTTAAAATATATAGGTCTTCATATTATTCTGTTTAAAACCACTCGGCGTTTGTTGTGTAATGTAATACACGTATAGATACCTACATAAAATGTACATCGGAAATACCGAAGTTACAGGTGAAGGGTCATATAATATTGAATACTAGGTATCTGTTAGTTCCCGTAAATCGTAGGTGGTCGAAAGTATACGACCAGAAATTTAAAACGCTACCTACCTAAAAATGAGTCAGTAGGTATTTCTGAGTAATAAATACACTCATCCACATGCGGCACTTTCTCCTGATACTGCATCATAATCAACTATGTACCTATTATACACCACTTGTAGATTAAAAACTAAATATAATTTATTTAATGACGATTCGAATATTGCCATTGTATCGATAAAAAATTATTAAAAAAAAATTACACAAAACAATAAATATACACTTGTATACGAGTAGGTAAACAAGTAGGTATACATAGATTATGGGTATATTTCCTAGCGGAGACTTAAATGACTGAACGATATCAAAAAGTAGACGGTGAATTTTCGACATGTTTCACTTGAAGATAATACGTCGGTTTTACTTTATCGTAATAATTCTTGAGGCTACCAAGCATAAGTGACTCGTTTTATTTCCTAATCACCGTCAGTAAAAAAAAAAAGACTGATTATTATAAAATATTATTTGTCACGCGTGTTATGACGATGCGATATTGGATAAACAATCGTTACTAATACTATCGTTGTGCATGATCGTAGGGTCTGATTTTACCACGATGATTTATTTATACGATGACTTTCCCAATATACACACGCGTTCGTGAGTTCCTACAGATGCTTATCTCGGCGGTGAGTGTTAAAAAAATCTGGGTGACGGGTTCAACGTTTAGATAATAATTCGCTTTTATACCTACAGGTACCTACTATAGAAAAAAAAAAGTGTTTTGTTTTTTCGTCGCAGTATAAATAATAATAGGAACCGTATTATAATATAATATGTGTATACTTAATAATATTTTTACGGGTCACGAATGCGAAATAAAAATCTAATAAAGTGCTTGTATTTATAGTTTAAAGTTTACTTATACGGTTTTTTACGGACGACCGAGGTTTTAAATCGTTGTTTCAATGTTATTTCATAAAAAAAAAACCCCACACGAAGTGACTTTTGGTTACCTACTGAACACTCGAGTCGAACTATACTGGTACCTACATTCGTGTACACCTACTTGTCACGTCATTATGGGTAGGTATCCTATTTGTGTGTCAGTAGACGGCTCGCCTTCTTCTTAATATAATTATTAGCCTCTCCTCGCGGATCTATCGTGCCAACACACACATATATCCATTAACATTCCGAACGACGATATTATTATGTATACCGTAACAACAGTTTGATTTTATTTTTATCTGCGTCGAATAGTGACCTTTTTTTCTAATACCTAAGACTAAAGAGCAACGAAACAAAAATTAATCAATTAGAAATGAAATGAATCATCGGAGAAAGATAATTATATTATTATGGGTATAATGTATCGGAAATAACACTCGTATTATTTAGTCCCCCTTAGCTCGGAATTAATTATTTAGGTTAGGTCAAATTATATATTTATGTACACTAAAAATTCATTGAACATACGCTTTCTCCGACGAATAAACAGGAACACATTAGTACGAAATACTATAATATTTCAAAATTCTTGCTCTATATAAATATTATTTAATTACTACGTACTTAACAATTCATCAGGTCGGTATAGTTTATAAACTTATAGATCGATAGATGTACCTAATCGCGATTCGCCTATTTGTAATTACAACATATGTGATTTAATAAAATAAGTACAATATAAGTACAGCGGGATTGTGGGGGTTTCTCCCTCCCCCAAAGAGGCACATAACTTGTATAACATTGACAGACTACTTGGTATGATTTAAGTGGACTTGGCCGTCTAAATCGTGTTAATGCACCCCTAGCTCCCCCCCCCAAAAAAAAAGAAAACTTGTAAATACTCAGTCGACACCTATAATAGTCACCGGTTCTAAGGTTTTTATACCCGTTTAAATTTCGTATGAGATTTTTTTCTTTCTTTCTGTAGTCGTTGTAATAATAGCGTAAAAATTCGATTTCGCAGGTAGATTATTGGACGTAAAAAGTCAGTTGGTCAGGCGATAACAGGGGGAATAACAGTATACACCTGCCGGCTGTCTAAATATTTATCTTAAGATAAATAAATATCCAGAAAAATAATTCGATTGTGAAATAACGATACGCACATATTTTATATTTGTTTACGCGATGTTATCTATATACATTTTTTTAAAACGCAGAAAAATTAGTATTCTTCCGGTCATTCCTGCAAGTTATTTGTGTGTGTGTACATGTATATATATATATATATATATATAAATATTATATGGGTATGCGATTTACAGTTATGTCTTTCGTGAAACACTATTAGGTATAATATTATATAGAGACGGCGGCGGCAGCAGAAATTACCAGATAATGCAAATTCATGACTCAATATTTATATATTTAATATATAAGAATATTGCATTGCCGTGTAACTAGATTTTTTTCTCAGGTTCGTCCTGAGAATAAATAAAATAAAATAAATGCAAAACACGTAGGTACTTACCAATCATAATATGTAAGTAGGTACGTGGAAAAAAAACTTTCGCCGCCCGTTTTAAATAATATTGTTGACCTAGAAACCGGGGTATATAGCCGATAATAATAATATATTCGACCTGCGTGTCATAATTCATAACGTGTACTTCTATACGCTACGTTACGTGTGTGTTTCGCGTTTCCGTATAGCTAAATAATATTGTCCGCGAAAATTTAAGATACACGCGGAAAAAAATAACAAAATAATACATTGTTCCATTATAATACCTATTATGTACGGAATAGAATATATTATGTACCTACGGTATGATTTAACGTTTACGGTAAAATCGTCGGTGAGAAATCCAAAGCTCGTGACGCAGTATACGATTATAATATTATTATTATTATAGAAAGCATATTATTATAATGTAGGTATATAGGTATTATAATAATGGAAAGTCAATTGTTTGCGGACAAATCGGCTGTAAATAATGAATAAAACGCTATGTGTATTGTAATAGTATATATTTTTTTATAGATAGAATTCTACAGAGACTTCGTGTGTTCGCAGCTTCGGGGATCTGCGCCGGGGAGTGTCTCTCTTTTTCCCGTATTGTGCGTGAACTATTGCTCGAGAGGCATAAAAAAAAGCACTTCTACCTACAATATTATTACACTAACTGGGCACAATAAATTGTCCGTAAATAATCCAATTTAAATTTACCAATTCGTCCATTATTGTTAAATTGCTGCTGCGGATGACATAGCACCAATACAAATATTATAAAAAAATAATAATAATAATAATAATAAAAAATACTCGTACAAAACTTTACCTACGTTTTTCCTCTTTATTAAATAGCAGCAATTGAATTCGTTTACGCGTATTATAGTCTGGGTGGCCAGGCACTTATACTTATTTTTGTGGTAGTAGGCTATAAGAAAATAATATTATAATACAGTAGGTAGATATGAAATTGATTTTATAATTAATTATAATTTATTTAACCAATATTGACCAAGTTTGACCAATATTTTGCATGTTTTGTTTTTATTTTTCCATTTCGTATTTTTCAATTGGTCGTAAAATTATATTTTCTGTAGATTTTCAATGGTACCTATGTATTTTAGGTGTATTTTATATTGTATCTGCGGCAATACATTTTCGAAACTTACACCCGGATAGGAACATGTAATAGGTCATTTTATGAAACATATTATATTGTTCTTAGGCGTCATTGCGGGGTATCTAGGGGTATCATTGTCCTATGAGTTATTTATAAAAAAAAAGTATAGTCTTGTTTTTCCTCATAATAATATGATCACACTAATGTAATAATTATTATGGTATCGGCTATATTGAATTTTAACGCATAAAAAGATCAGCCAATTGATGATTTAATATATTTCTATACCTAATTCTGATGAACAATTGACTATGGCTTATCGATTATCCATCGACTACTGCTCCCTCACTTCATTAGACCATAACTGAATTAAAAATATTATTCAAGATGCTTGATGATTTTTTTCTTGCTACCCCATGATATTATTTCAAATAACACTTATGATATTGTTTTTTTAAATGAGTAAATCAGTAACTATTTAGGTAGACAATCAAATGTTCACAATAATACTCATTATATATTATATTATTAGCGTACAGAAAATTAACTTCATTACGAGTCTAAAATTCTGAATGTTCGTAGGTATAGTTATTTGGTCTATAGAATCAAATGTTATGCTATAGCTATTATCGGTATACCGACCTACACTAAAAATTATTTTCTCATAAGTTATTTAATACAATAATGTTATGCATGATGCATATTAGAAGAGCACACAGGTGCAGTAGGATGTAATAGAGTGTAATAGGGCTTCGAACACGTTTTAGAGAGTTCAAACTAATCCACTTTGTTCAAGGTGGGTTAGTCACCAGCTAACAGATTAATTTTAAAGATAGTAGATACATCGTAAATCTTGTAGTACAATTAGTACAATACGAATACATTTTTATTTTTATTTTTTTTTATAATAACAACACATATACATAATTCGTAAAGATGTTTTGCGAAGATCTGTTATTTGGAAGTGGCAGTGATTATCGTAAATTATCGTATTATATTATATATGTACGCAACGATTAATCATTACTAATGAAAAACGATTTTGAGCGGAGCATGGTCAATAATATTGCTTTTTCAACAATGTGTGTTTTCAAGACAACAACGATTATTTAAAAAATATTAAAATAATAAAAACTTAATAATAACAAAAAATAAATAAAAATGGTTGCCAATAACAAACTTATTTTTAATATTTTTTAAGCTAAAGCACCAGTTTATTCTATCAAATATTAAAAATAGTTAATAACAATATGCAAAATATCAAAAATATTAATGATAATTTAAAAAAAAAAAATGGAGATACTCTAGATATTGGTCATTGTTGTCCGTGAGAAATTGGGAATACAAAGAATATTGAGTAAATAGAGGAAAATTTAATGAAAGAAAAACGACTCTGAGCAGAGTTAGGTTATACATGTTTTGAAAGGCCATAATATTTACGATTTTAAAATAATATATTTCCAAAATTTGTCCTTTTTTCCAATTTATTATGAAAAAATCAAGAAATTCAATAAAGTACCACTCTAATTAAATTTCCTTTCAAAAAAATTGCTACGCTTAAAAATCGGAACAAAATTTCTAGTAGAAAAGTTGTCCAAGAAACAAAAACATCATTGAATAAAACTAATACATTCCTCGCTCCGCTCAGAATCTAAAATTACCTTTCTAAAGAACAAACTAGAGCCAATGTTTTGATAGGAAAAAAATTGTGTAGACAGTATAAAAAGAAAAATAAACAAACATCATTATAAAATCAGTATATTCTTCGCTTAGCTCAGGAACTAAAAGATTAGACTTTAATGTAAAAACAGATTTAAAAGTTAATTTTTAAGCTTTCACTCAAGCTTTTTGTTTGTTTTTTAACATATCGTTAAATTAAAAATAACGAACAAGCGATTACCTGCACAATGATAACTGACAATTAAACCGGTAAAAAATATTCATGCTGACCTTCTCCACTTTGGGCACGCCTGTTTTATTTACTTATCGTGTTCATTTTTTTTTTTTAATAGGTACGTAATACTTATAGTGGTAGTGTATAATGTTTGTTTAATTGATAAATTAGGGGAAAAAACGATTGCCGCAAATTTCTATACCTGCAGAAATGAACCAATAATATTTACTACGATACCGTCAAAACATTATCTGAGTAATTTATACTGTATAATTAATACATACGACCCATACGGGTGTGTCGTGTAGGTTTAACAATGTCTAAAGTGTACATAGGAACTGTAACTGCTATACACACCATGATGGTATATAATATAAGTCACATATTTTATTATTCGGTGAAAAAATATGGGTCGTGTAGTTTGTATAATACCATCACAACAGAACACATCGGCGGTCCGTTTTCTATAATTTAAATATAATTCAGAGCTGAATAGAATTCGCACATGATGTATACATTTGTGTTATACATTTTCGAGCGATTGTTATTATACAGTCCAAGACAACAAAACAGAGTCGTATAAAAATGCAAAATTTATTATGCTATCAAATTTTTGATTCATACTTATTTTATGAATACTTTGATATTAAATATATATGTATATATATTATATACACGCAATAAAGAAAACCATCGCTAACGAAAAATTATTCTGCTTAAGATCGGTTAAACATATGTTTTTACAATTTTCGTCAAAATTTGAATTTTAAACGTTTATAAAAAAATCGTAATAAAACTTAAAAGGCTTGACAGTTAGAAATAGCTCAAAAATGCCATATTCTTGAATATTATACCATGTCTAGAAAGGGCTAATAAATATATCTATATAATATATTTTAAACTGAATTACAAAAAAAAAAAATACAAATAATACAAAATCAAAAATAACAGAAACCATTATTGCCTAAATTTGTCCATTTAACGAATGTTTTTCCCCATTATTAATATTCAAGAAAACTACCAAGACAATCAATCACTCACATCACTTATACTAGATACAATTTTCTACCAGAAACCATATCTGATGTTAATGATCGAAGCAAGATTTTTGATGGAAAAATTGTTAACAGACATAAAAGCACACATGATAGTAAAATCAATACATGCATTTGCCATGCTCAGAATCCAAAAGTAAAATAGAAAATTATCGATTGTTGAAATCCGTACATCCGGTTAAAAAGCATTATGTATTTCTATACAATATGCATATTATATTATAAGTAGGTACCTGCAGTTTTGCAACGTCATGTCAGTATACTAGTTTGTCTTCATTTATGATTTAATCTGTAAAAAAATGATGATAATAAATTATTTAATAAGTATTATTCAAAATATTTTAACTGGCAAAACTTGAAAAGTTTTATGAATTTCTAACCGCATAAGTACCAAAGCGTATTTTCATAAATTGAGTAAAACGAGACTGTGCTATTTTAAAATTATTATTCGTCACATTTCATTATATAACGTATAGGTGTACTGTATTTTACGCACGATTCTAATTCTAATTTAAAATCATTGAGGAGTCGATTAATTTATCGTTAGATATTTTACTTTTGTTCGTATCTATGTAGCATTGTTTTGTTATTTTTTTTTAGAAAATGAGCTCATTGAAATATTATTGTCCATAAAAAAATCATTACTGCGTGTTTTGGGCACAGTGCGATTATTTATTTGTATGCTTGATAAAACTCAAAAACACACACACAGATACATAAATACTTATTTAGATAGGCGGAAAAATCGAACACCGTTTTGATCTTTTCAGTGGTTATTGTCATTATTGTATGAAGTAGGTAGGTGATTATTATATTTTTTGATCAAAAAGGAAAAGCGTTTTCAGTGATATGTACAAAACAGTAATCTATTGCGCTTATAGGCTTTACACAGACATTAATGTATTCTATATTACCCAGTATATACTTAACCAAATTCCAAATTCAAAATATTCTATGCACGTGCACTGCGATGTATGAAGTGTATAGACATGTTTGTTAAATGTTACATATACAATTTAAGGGCGTGCACTGTTCATATTTTGTACGAATCTGCTTACGACGCTAAAGAAAGAGTTTGTTTTTAATTGTTTCACAAAAATAATAATCCGAGATCATGTAATTTGTTATATACAAAATTATAAAATCCATAGGTCCTACATTGGATTTATAGGTCACATGCCATATATAATTATTCTGGATTGTACTTCCATTATACGTTTTACACTATCACAGTTGTGAGTGACCCAATTTGTTGGTCACGCACGAGCTTCAGAATCGAGCCACAAAATAATATTAATATTATTAAAACAAAATAATATATAGTTATTAGTTATTAATAATAATTATTAACATATTTATTTTGAGTTTATCATTTGTATTGTTTATATTTCAATAAAAATATAACGACTAAATATCTGTCAATATTGAAATATAATAAATTTAATTTATACAACATTGTACAAATACTAACTAAAATTTCTTTATTTTTTTTTTTTCTTAACATACAGGTTGTCAGGAAAATACAATCCAACAAATTAGTAATAAATTATACAATTTCAAAAACCTATTATATCACATTATGTAGTCTATATAGACTCAAAATTGTATGTTCCACTTTTGTATCATTTTCATATTAATGTTGTTATATTTTGTGTCGATTGTTTTAGACTCTGATCATAATTTTCGTTGTTGAAAGTTCGTTTTTATTATTTTATATTGATGATTTTTATTCATATAATTTTACTAGGCGAAAATACTACGAGGGCATTATGTAGGCCGCTTGGAATCAAGTGCGGATTAGGAATACATGTTGGCGTAAGAAAACGTACTTTTACTGGCGTACAACAAATCAAAGTTGATTTATTTGGCTTTTAAAATACATTCGTTGTATATTCAAATCTTATAATATGATTAAGAAAAAAAAGCGAAATTATTTTATTGGTACCTATTACTAAACGTCAAGTGATAATAAGAATCTGCAATAGCGTCAGATTCTCCAACCATATTCACACGGTTTATATCATTTTTTTTGTAAATTAATTCGGAACCGATGCATTATTATTGTCTATAACATTTATTTTGATAAATAAAAATATTCTAAATGGTTTACTTAATATAATTATTGTTTCTACCTGTGCAGTGCATGGAACAGACAAGCAATTCAGCCCGTAGGAATAACCCTCGAATTCCCCATGGGCCAATCCGCCCATCAAATTATTCGTTCAAGTTTAAAAAAAAAAAAAAGATATACCATCTTGTATACATATAGATAGGTACTATAAAATTGTTGACCTACATTATAATATAATAAAACTATAACTTAACATTTTCAAAAACACAATTTACAATTTTTTTTTTTTTTTTTTTTTTTTTTTTTTTACGCAAATAATAATTGTTAATTAAATATTATACGTATAGAAATGAAAATGATCGTGTAATTAATTGATATAATATATTTTTATTAAACAAATTTAATTTTAGAATGAAGAGACATAGCATTTGTTCGCTAATGAAGTCTTCGTCGTCGTGTGCAAAAAGAATATTGTTTATGATCTACGTAATTGGATTGGTCGTCAGCGATAATTTAGTAAAATCATATCCGTCATGGGACGCCCAAACAACAATTACCGGTAAGTGCTTTTCGGAATAAATATGAATTATATTATAATTTATTAATTATAAATTCAATCAGTATATTTCAATTAATCTAGAACAACTGAAGATAAAACGATAGGTACGATTGATATATTTGTAGGTATACCGGTAATTTAATACACAAAATACCATTACATACAAAAAGTCGTTATTGTTATTAACTTAAAAGCCAGATCCAAAAAAGCTAACATGTAATAAATCATAGTGTTTTCATTGTAATTTGACTGAAACACATAATTTAAAGAAAAAATTACTAATTCAATAGGTTTCCAAAGTATTTTTTAACCACTGAACGGGTGATATTATAACCCCATTCCCTGCTAACGTTTCTAGGTCAAACGTTTTGTAGTTAAAGGATGTAATTTAGTTTATATATTGAAAATAATAACAGATCGGGGTGTTTGAAAAACGATTCTGAGCGAATCTCAACAACTGGTTATGTTTTAGTATAAAAGTCGTATTTTTCCTCCTTGTATAGCGAAGGTATTATCCAGAAATCAACAACGTGTCATCATTATTTTGTTTTTAGATTTTTTAGTGTCTAAATGATGGGAGTCTACATATTTTAAGGTAGGTACAGTGTGAAGAAATCGGATCATTTTTACTAATCGGAAAAACGTGTTTTCCAAGAAAAAACCCACATTTTTATAAAATTTATCTGTGTAGTTTATTGATCTATATTCTAAGAGGGAATCTGAGAAAAAAACAAATAAAGGACTTAGGGGTAAACTGATGAAAATTCCGTTCAATGTTTTAAATAAATTATAGCCGGACAGAAATTCCGTATTTTTCGAGGTACCGCATGAAAAACTTTTCTTTCAGAAAAAGATCTACATCTTATAAGTCGGAGTGAGATTTCTGATAGAAAGTGTTTAAATAAAAAAAAAATGACCATCTTTATAAAACCAATATACATTCTTCGCTACACTAAAAATTTAAAAAGACAATTTTTAATCGAAAAGTGATAGAGAGTTTTGAAAAAATGTATCAAATAAAGTAAATACAAAATCCACAGCTTTAATGTATTACATGAAAAAATCTGATCATTTTTATTAGCCGAAAAAAAAATACACAGATCAAAGTAAAATTAATAACTCCTTCACTATACCTTCACAATCTAATAATGATAAAATAAATCATATAATATTACAAGTTTACAAATTAAAATGTCGTTCAATCAAGTAAAAACTCGAATCGAGTGTATTAAAATTTAAAAATATGTATTATATTACAACCAATTTTTTTTTAAACTGCTTATTTTAAGGTCGTTAACCTCGGTCGAAATATATTATGTACTATGAATAATGTTATAATTGTACGTTTTATTCTTTTGCCATATTTAAAACCGTTAGAGCGTCAATGAGGTAATAAGTATAGGTATAGGTAGGAAAACGCGTGCGCATAATTTTAGTGTATTGAAGTTTGTAAATATCTATTTACAAAGCATAATATAAGTAGATATATACATTTTTTTTTCTACAAGAATTAAGTACAAACTTTATTTGTTCAATGGTCAAGATAATTTAAATCAATTGCTATATTAAAAACTATTTTGTTTTTTAAATACACCATTTGTTAATTATATATTTTCCTTATTGTACATTATACATATTATACGTTATTATACATTAGTTTCATATAATTATTGGTTTTAATTGTTGATGAGTTTTTGTTGAACAAATGCAAATGTCATTGATGAATAACAGTATACATAAATTATTTGCGAATAATGAGTAATAATGACAAATTTTTTTTTTTAAACTCATTTCAGCACTTCAATAATTATTACTTTTTAAAGGTTATATTATGATTTCGATTTGTAACAATTTTACAGAAGTTGGACTTATATAGTTGACCGCCTTTTTTATTTATAATTTAAATCGTATATTGACAGTTTAATGTTTAAAAATTTAGATTATTTGTTATTTAACCATTAATAGTTTAAACCGTTTTTAACGTAATGGTCTTGCTATTATTATATTTGTATATTTATGTATTGAACAAATGAAACATTTTAAGTTAACTAAATATAAACAGCGTCGATACTGCTCATGGGTAGGTTACTGTTGTACGTGGTATTTTAGATTTATATTGCATCAATGCAATTAAAAAACGATTTTGAGCGGAGTAGCATGTCATTTTTTTTGACCCGTAACTAAAGTAACCCAGAAATCAAAAAAAATAAAACCAATTTATCGATATTTGTTGTTGGTTTATTACATTTTATAGGAAAATTGTTGTCAAATGAAATACTAAGGAGTGAAAAATCTGTATCTTTTAAGGTACGAAACAATTAATTTAGAGCCTTCTCATTAGTCGAAAAAGTATTCTGAGAAAAACATAAAAAAAGGATATAATAATAATTTCGAGAAATATTTAAAATAAATTATCTTCGGACAAAAATTCAATACTTTTTGGGGTATTATGTGTAATATTGTAACATTTGTCTAAACAAATAATGTTATTTAAAAATAAGTAATTTTTTGAAAAAGTAATAAAAATCTCGAAAAATATTTCAAATAAAATACTAAAAATCAAAAATCCATATCTTTTAAGGCACTATGTAAAAAAAATCTGATCATTTTTACTGGTTAAAAATAGTTTTTCGAATACATATTATTGTACAAATTAATAGATTTTCATTCAAGATCTAATATAATTCTAGTAACTTGTAAAATATTATTAAAACTTTTTATAGGTATATCTACATTGTTACATTAAAAAAATCAATATAAACGTAAAAGACCAGTAAACTCCTATAAAGTTGTATCAAATTACGGTTAAAAAATAGACGTTATGTTTAGATGAAACATTATGCTACCTCAAAAAATGTACTTCTAATATAATATTATTTTTAAATATTGGTACCTGTTCTGAATCTAAAATACTTGTACTTGGTCCGAAAAAAAAAATGTATGTCAAGTGTCCCATATATATTATGTATACTTATATATTTTATAATATTATGCAGTTTACCTAAAAAAAGTACTTTATAAATAAACAAAAATCGAACATAGCAAATAAATTAGGTAATCGCCCTATTTTATAATAGATATACTATATAGTAACTATTTACAAATTTCTGTAACCTTGAGGTACATTTAGATATTTGAAGTATGTATAAATTATTGTTATATAAGGAAAATATAACTATACGGTATTTTTCTACGTCGTTACACTATATTCTATAGGTAGTTTCAATGTCATTTCTAGAAAGCGGATGCTACTTTCTTTAATTGAACACGGTAATAGATACATACCTACAGGTATAATGAAGTAAATAATAGTCTTACGCTGTGCGTCACGAATAACTCTGCCTATTTAATAACTGTTTGAAACGAGTCATTATTGCAGCCGCAGTGAATTTAGATTCTGAGTGGAGCGAAGATGGTTTTATGGTTTTACAAAGATGTTTATTTTTTTTTTTGTGAACAACTTTTCTACTAGCAATTTTGCTCCAACTTTTAATAATACTATATTTTCTGAAAGGAAATTTCACTAGGAAGGTACTTTAAAGAGGTCGTTTTTCAAAAACATAAAAAAACCGGGAAAATTAGTACAACACTAAACAAATATTATTAAAGAAAATTTATAGAGCCCATTTTATTATTTTACTATAATATGGCATATATATTGTTGACAAAGCATCACTATTACATGAATTCCACTCTGAATCCTTTTTCCTAAGCAATGGTTTATCATTGCTTATAGGTATTCATTAAATTACTTATAACAGTGTCTGCACCCGTTCCCATTATCCTAGGACGTCTTTTTTAAAAATAATATCTTACCACGTTTAACGTAAAGTGATCGTAACGGTGTTATTGCAACGCTTTAAAAAGTATAATTCTCACATGTTCGATTATTGCACAAAAAGTAAACTAACCATTTGAAAGGAGGCTAAACCAAAGTTTAAAGGGGGAAAAACTTCAAAGGAGTCTATATTTACTGAAAACCGAGGCGTGTTACCGAAAACTAACTAAACCTAACCAAACTTTCAGGAAACCCAACACGGAGAAAGACTTTCAAAATATTTTTCACTCACACACATTGTTCGTAAAAATATTATACTAATAAGATTTAAAAATAAACTTTACCCTCGCCTTTAAATATTTTCTTACGCATACTTATGGTATATACGCCTGCTCAGTATAATTACGTACAATCTAATGTATAATATTAAAGAATTTATACTTAATAAAACTATAATTCCGGTTTTTAAAATTGCATTAAAAATGTCTCAGTAACAGTAACTAATGTGCCCCCCTACCGTGCTTCAAAAACTTAAATTAAGAGAGACTTATAATTTGCCGCAATTTGTTTACCTATATTTATTAGGTAGTTGTGGTCGGTTCCATAGTTTTTTAAATTAATAATCGGAATTCATAAATCTATAATAGTATAATAATTATTATTATTTGACATATTTTTTGATCAATCTGAATTTTGAATAATACCTACAATATGTTTTAAAATTGAATTCGGTGTCACTAACTACACCGTTAATTACGATATTGGTCTCTATAACTAACTGGCAACATAGAAACATTCGACGTTATTTAGAAGTTAAAACATAAACTGTATACGTTTAGGTTGAAATTATAATTGAATCACGAATAGTAAAATTTAAATAGGAGAATATCTTTGAGAGCGGTATAGGTACGTCACTTTTCTAAAAATACGACGTATCTGCTATTTAAAAAAAAAAGAGGTGATACTGCTGATGAATGCACCACTGTTGTCTGTTATAGGTGGGGTTTGAGAGATAGGATACATAAAGCAATTTAATTTATTTGAGAATATTGTAAACAACGATAAATCATTGCTAAGGAAAATCTATTCTAAGTGAAGTTCTTTTATACATAATTTATAAGGCCGTAATATTTACGATTCTTAACAAAATTTTAAAACCATTACAAAAGAAAATTATTACATTTCATTCTACTTTTCTTTTTTAACCACTATAAACAATTTATAATGAACCTCTTGTTAAATTTCTACGCATTTATAGTTGGTCAAACAATTATATCTACAATCCACATAGTGGTATTTTGTAGGTAGTACCTATATACCAAATAAAAGGTACGTAAGAAACACGCAAACATAAAATGCTTATAAATAGTTCATCAAAATGTCCAAGTCTACGAATATTTTTAAACTGAATTACAAATTTAAACTATGAATAATTAAACTATTTCCGCAAACTTTTCCATTCTTTCTACGTTGTTTTTACTCTAATTATTAAAAAAATACAGAGAAAATCGAAAAAACAAATTATATAATGTCCAACGAGATTAAAAATGGAACAAAAAAGGTCTCTTGTCTTTTTTCTATTTGGGCAATATTTCTAGTAGATAAAATAAAACGTAAACATTTTAAATAATGAAATCATAACTTCGTAAATTCGTCAGTATTCATTTTATGTCTTTTTTCGGTTTTTCTTAATTACTTTGAAAACCCTTTGGAAAATCAATAATTAACCTTTAAAATGCACTAACTAGATAAAATTTCCTTTCAGAAAAGTTTTCTGTTCGAAAAGTTGCTCACATTCACAAAAAAAAAAATAATAATAATAATAAAACACACACGTCATAATAAAACCAATAAATCCCTCACTCTACTTCAAATCTAAAAAAACTAATGTAGTCTTACAATGTTTTGTTTTACAATAATTTTTTTAAAAAAATCGACTTGTTGCACTTGAAATATTTTCTTATTTCCTATTCACGTGTTTAAGCTCTAATTTCAACTCAAACACTATAATTTATGTTCTGGTAACGTAATTCTGTTATGATGTTCGTTAGTTACACTGGAACAGTAAAACATGCGGGGTGTATAGCTTCCTCTTTTGTAACAGGCAGTAAAAGAATCTACGAGAGATACTTTTTAAAACGGACGTTACACGTTATATTGCTACGACTATTAGTTATACACAAAATAATATCATAAAATATTTAGTTGTCCTTTTAAATCTCGTGTATATAGGATCGCCAGCGCGATTAAAACTATTATGGTATAATTACACTCTGCAGCCACTGTTATATTTGTAGGTACCCAAAACCGTCCGTGCTGTAAGGAAAGAAACGGTAAAAATGATCAAAAAATATGTTTATCTCACACCCTACGAGGGGGGGACTCATATTGAAAAGCGAAAATATAACAACGTAAATTCGGACGACTATTCGTTTCACCAATGTAATGTTTTGTGACACATAATAAGCGAAGAAAAAAAATATTATTATTATTGGTAAATAACAGTACATAACAGCAGCAGCAGCCAAACATATTATTATTTCATTCGAAACCCAAAGTAGAACGACAATCGTACCTTGCATTTTTATTTTTTTTTCTCGGAGGCAAAATAAAATCACGTTTATAATACGCAACGACCGCGCGGCGCAGACAATGCAAGAAACTAAACATTGGCGCATACATTAAAAAACTTGTTTTTCCACTATACCTTTATAGGTACGGGTTTTTTTTTGTTTGTGGGCACAATATAAGACAAGATAACTGTTAATCAAAATACACACATACACACACTCACGCGTGAGCACACACATACACTCTCTCAATCTACTGACCCACTAACTAGCCAGACACAACTATAATATAGTACGGTGTGTGCATTGTCTATTTCTATATTGTGTCAGGATACACGTATAATATAGTTACCTACTCCTGTTATACTCCAGTATATCAGTCTTTTATGTATTTTACGAGCATTTTTCAAAAAAAACACAATGTCTCGTATCTATTATCTTGATACTTAGTACTTTAAAGCCGCTAGCCTATTTATTTTGAAATCACGGCATTCCTTTTTTTTTTTTTTTTATGTTCGGTTAAAAACAAAATGTTAAAAACACATAATATTATAACAACAGTGACTCCACCAGGGAAGAGTTGAGGATTTAATACCCCCCTCCTTCGAGATGTGAGATTTTTTACGAATTCTAGTCGAATGCATTTAGTTGCATAATTTGTTTTACAATTACAGACGGTTCTTTGTAATTTTGTTTACGCGTACATCGTGCACGTTACATTCTTAACCCCTCCTCCATACGAAATAAATAAATCCTGCAGGTTGCGGCACTGTATTACAATAATAATTTACCAATTCTAACGAACCAAAAACGATAATATTTGGATAGGTAGTTAGTAAATTATATAACTATTTTAATTATTATCCGATAAATAGTGTTGGTTTTAATATCTTTCTACCTATGCTCCATATTATGTATACGGAGGATAATTGCAGGTACTTGACCACTTAACTTATGGGAAACTTTATGTAATAATGGTCAAATAAATATTGACTATCTAATGGATTTTACGGAAATATGCTTGGTTGACCTTTAAATTAATTTTAGGGAACACTTAAATGATTTAGCATACGGATAATTCGATATTTTATAACGGACTACACGCTATAAAATACCTTCTTCTACCATATTTCGATATAAAATCGTACCACATGATTACCTAATAATTCATTTAATACACACCCCACTTTACAATATATATATTTAATATTATACCTATTTAGTATATACCGGTCAAAGCTTATTCTGAGGATTTTTATCAACTACGAATTTTGTTTATATATCAGAATAGAACTATAATTTCGAAATATGATTTCAAATTATGGTTAAAAGTTATAAAATTTTTAACTTTAAGGTGGAATAATTTAAAATTTAAGAAACAAAATAACAAACATTTGTGTTTAAAATATTTTATTTTAATTAATGTTCTTTTTACTTTTTTCATAATATGTATACACACAACATATAATAAAATGTTAGAATGTTTTTCTTAAATTTTTTGTTTAGTTTGCTCTTCAAATTTTTTTTTTTGCTGCGTCTATAAATATCCCATTAAACTATTGGCTTTAAATGTGTCTTTAATGCGGTGCTCATTTTGGTTTAACTATATCTGTATTTTTAATCTTAGGTCCCAATTTCGAAGAGCAGACATGTTAAAATTAATAAACATTTTCCGTTTCTATATGAAAACTTTAAGAATTTATTGATTTAAGAATATTTTATCTCGTAAAAAAATTAATTTCACAGTTGATTAGGGTGTCCCAGAAGATATACATTTTGTAACGATAAGGATAAAGATTACAAATATTTATATTTGCAATTAATTTTTTATATTTAGACAAAAAATCTTAAAAAATTGATACATTATAATTTTCAGAAGTATAAACTCTATTAAATGACTGTCTTTAAATTTTTCAAAAATAATAAAATAAAAAGTTATTTTTTAAGGTTTATTTTATCTAAAAATAAAAAGCTAATTGCAATATAAATCTATGTAGTCCTTATCCCTGTGAGTAATATAAAAAAAACGGAATTTAATTATCTCTATTGTCTCCGGAGATATTATAATAGGTATATTTTCGTGGGACATCTTGTTACAGGATCCATAACATATATACAGGATTCCTGTATACTTAAGTTTTTAATTTGAATATGTATTAAATATATCAATTTATATATCATAATGTTTTACAGTAGGTACATAATGAATTTATGATTATCACTTTTTTCAGTTTTTTATAGTTATTATATTAGTTTAATAAAATGTATAGTATCCTTAGCATTTATAATTTACTTTAATTGTACCTACACAAGCAAAATAAATTACCATGTTTTCTTTTGAATTATAACTTTTTATTATATATGTATACTATTTGCACTTAAGTCACATACTTACTATTTAATCAGTTTTGTTATTTAAACATTTATTATGATTTTATGAGATAAAATATTCATGATCACCTTCTCACGTATATACTGTAATAATAATAAACCAGCATTAAATTCCAAGACAGAACCGGTCCTATAGTATATTATTAATATTAATTTATCGTTTGTCAATTTATAACTAATCATTAATTACTTTTTTTATGAAAATGAACATTCATACGTTAATCGTTAAATATTATGTGGTTTTTATCATAATTTCTTATAATACAGTCAAAATAATATTATTATTGTATTATTTTGCAGACTTTGGACGTAATATCAGACAATTACCATGCGTCAGCCGAAGGACTGGAGATACAGGAATTTGCATGTTTGCTTATTCGTGTGCTAAAGTAAACGGAACGCATTTGGGTACTTGCATTGATAGATTCTATTTTGGTAGCTGTTGTAAAACTCCTGGCGGCGATTCCGATTTTGAAGTTAACGAACCTGATAATTATTTGAATAATCTAGACAACGATGTGGTCGGTCCACCAATAACAACGAATATTAAATTAAGTTCACAACCAACAAGCACCGACAAGTACATTACTCAAACTAATTCGCCAACTACTCTCACGAGTTTTCCATCTTCAACATTACTGACTTACAAGCCCACGACTAAATTTTCCGTACCTTCTACTACTCCGTCGACTACGTCTACGTCTAGAACTCAATATACCGAGATATCGAATTCTAATAACACGAGACCGACATTCACGACCAGTTCGCCCAATTCAATATCGTCAACGTACTCAACGACCATAGCGCACTCAACTAAACCTATGGCTTCGACTACTTTTTCAACGGTAAAACCTTTGCTTAAACCGAGTTCTTTCAAACCGCCGATTAAAGATCCAGTCGTCACTACGGTTCAAAAACCTAAACCTCAAACGGTAAAACCAACTGTTCAATTTACTTTGCCGAGTTCGACCGTATCCAATAGTCCGTATTCGTCTAGCCAAGAAGCTACAAAACCACCTACAGTCACGAGTTCGTTTACTACAATGACGTCATTACGTCCCTTGAACACCACGGTTTCTGCCACGTTTGTCACCACAAAACCAGTAGTTAAACCATCAAGTACTACGTATAAAATGACGACAACGCCTACGTCAACAACAGCATCTCCACAGAAAATTAAGCCACAAACACCTAAGCCAACGGTTAAACCAAAACCTACGTCTGTTAAAACGGATCCTACAGTCACTTTTGAATCCGTAACAAGCCCTTATATAACCCGTTTGCCGATTGAAAATGCCACTGAAACAATTGTTATTTCAACTACACCAACCACCATAAAAATCAATCAAAACCAGACATCGAGTTACAGCAGTTCTACGATAACATCTACCTCACCAACGCTGGTAACTTGGACTACACTCGACAAAATTCCCGTAATACCGTCCGAAAATACGAATTCTCCACCAAGTAGTAAGTTTTTATTAAAAACATTATGATATTTAAATAATACGTATAATTGAAAATGTGATACTGTACTTAACGTTATTATATTATATTATACTTTAGTAACGTATAAACCATCTAGTGCTGACAGTTCGACACTTCCTTCTTGGGTTAAACTTCCAGTTGAGACACACGAACCCAACACATCTGGAGTGCCATTCAATGAGAGTAGTACAAGTGAATATATCTCGACATTGATGACGTCTAAACCAACTACTGTCCCAAGTCCGTCCGATAACGACATTATCATGACTTCAAATAGTGTTTATACAAATAATGGTAGTACAGTAAGTCCGTCGAGTCCATCACCAAGTACGTCAGCGATGTTTGTACAAACAACAACAGATTCGAATGAGGCTGGAAACACTCCTCTTAATATGTCCAACTATAAAGACGGTAAGTGTTCAAATTTAAGTGTAATCGTACGATAAGATTTTAAATTAACTAATTAATATACTTTATTTGTACACTAAAGTTTGCGGCAGACGACTTTTTCCAACAGCTAGAATTGTTGGAGGTGAAAAAGTTTCTTTTGGCAAATGGCCATGGCAGGTAAGTCAATGTGAAATAATAAAATCAAATTATAATACCAAAATTAATACGATATTTTCACTAAAAGATTTCGCTGAGACAGTGGAGAACATCTACTTACTTACACAAGTGCGGAGCGGCATTATTCAATGAAAACTGGGCTGTAACTGCTGCACATTGTGTTGAAAAGTGAATACCCGCATAACTTAATCAAATTGCGTATACCACGTACATATTAATAAAATCAATTTTTAATAATTTTCCAGCGTTCCTCCAAGTGACTTACTCCTTAGGCTTGGAGAACACGATTTGTCAGTAGAAGAAGAACCATACGGCTACGAAGAACGAAGAATTCAGATCGTCGCTTCACATCCACAGTTTGATCCCAGAACTTTTGAATACGACTTGGCACTATTACGATTTTACGAACCAGTCAAGTTCCAACCTAATATTATACCCGTTTGCGTTCCAGAAGACGATTCAAATTTCGTAGGATCGTCTGCCTACGTCACCGGATGGGGTCGATTGTACGAAGGTAAACATTTTGAGAACGAAATACAAAGTCGATAAATGGTGATTGTATAAACTTTATTCTTTTAAATTGAACTAATTTTTTTTTTCTGTTTAGATGGACCTTTACCTAGTGTTTTACAAGAAGTGACAGTTCCCGTGATTAACAACTCGGTTTGCGAAACTATGTATCGAGCAGCCGGATATATTGAACATATACCGGACATTTTTATTTGTGCTGGTTGGAAAAAAGGAGGTTTCGATTCGTGCGAAGTAAGTGTCAATTAAAACATATACGAACGATTTGACTTCGGTAGTAAACAAATTGTTTGTTTAGGGTGATTCGGGCGGTCCAATGGTAATTCAAAGACCGGACAAAAGGTGGCTGCTGGCCGGAATCATATCGTGGGGTATCGGATGTGCTGAACCAAATCAACCCGGCGTGTATACTAGAATTTCAAAATTCAAAGAATGGATCAATCAAATACTGCAATTTTAACGGACAGAAAACTACACCATTCTGCAATTCGATCCAAATCCATCAAGTCGGTCGGTCATATAATATACACGATCACAGTTTTTCGACAATTTCGTTTGTTCCTAATGCTTTTATTCAATTGTACTTATACTGTTTTTTTTTTCGCACGACTTGCAACAAAAGAACATCGTGCGAGATGGTCAGTTCGAGTATTATCGATACTGCAGCAGTTTGAATAGTTTCTCGTTCGATCGTACATTTATTGCTAATAGGAGACGTCTAATTTACGGTGAACGCACGCCTTTATATAGATCACTGTATAGACTATATTACGTTAACGGACGCAATTTAAAAGAACATCTATTAGGTAGTATATATATATTGATTGACATATCGCATATTGTATACTTGTTTCCACTAGACACTGCGTGTATTATTATTATCATCATTATCATTATTATTATTATTATTATTATTATTATTATTATTATTATTATTATTATTATTATTATTATTATTCTTACACGACGTGGAAGTACGTTCATCTTTAATCTATTGATTGTCCATCAGTGTAATAGTTGTACTTTGCAGAGACCTTCACGAATTGATTATTAATCTATACGAAGGACACAATATTGTTATGACACACAATGTATAATATTATGTTATTTTTATTTAAAACACGTCAACATAACATTCAAATTGTATACAGTTTAATAGTTTTGAGGGTGTTTTTGAAAAAGAAAAAGAAAAAGAAAAAACTTTAAACGTATTGAAATTATTAAACCATTTAAATTTGTTTGAAATAATACGATTATGCGAGTATAATGACAATAATTACTTTAGTAAACTGTAATCCTGTCTTATAATAAATAAAATAAGTCCAAAATGCAAATGGTATGTTCAATTTTAACTACAGTAACAAATTTAATTATTCCTGTAATAGTAATTAAGTTTAAATGTTTTTACATACACAATCTGTGACACACCTAGGAATTTTCAATGGGAGGGTATGTATAGTAAATAATAATCACGTTTTACGAAAAATTTTATAATCTTCTTCGGTTAAATACTTAACCCGGCAGTGAAAATTTAAAAGCAGGATCCAAAAAAAGTAATTTTTATTTTTATTTATTTTTAATGGCAGATTTTTTTAAAAAAAATTCAAAATTTATAATTTAAAGATAATATTACTAAATAAACATTTATATCTGTTTGTTTTTACACCAATGATATAATAACATAACCCCCCTCCGCGCACACTACTGCGTAATACAGTCATTTTATTAGGTAGGTACATAAAAATAATTGTTAATTTTATCATTGATGCATTTTTTATTTTAGTATTTGTGTTTAAATCCGATTTTTAACAGTCAATTTTAAATGTTAAGCAATTATGGTAAATGTTCCGCAAACAATTATTATTGTTCAATTAACCGTTTTATTGTTGTATTAAATTTGAATATAAATCACAAATAACTCCGATCAAATTAAAACACATATTTAAGTAAATATGTACCTACCTATGTTTCAAATATTTATCGAACAATTTTGTCAATTTATTTATTTTGTCATATTTATTGATTTATTATAATATACCTAAGTAGTACCTGTATTTTTTGTTAAACGCTATACCACAAGTACAATTTACCATTAACAATTATTTACCGGTTTATGACGTTTACTATCAAAACGTAATATTATAAATTTGTTTTAAATTTCTCATTGACAACACGCCCATTTATAGGAATAAGTATCTTTTTACGAAGTTTGAGCTTAAAGGGATGTTTTTAAACAATTATTTATACAAAGTGAACGGGAAATACATAATTATTATTATTTTATTTAATAGTATCGTTGTAATTTATTGTTAATATTTAATTAAATTTATTTATTATTTAATAAATTAATTTCTTTATTGTGATATAACTTATAATTTATTGTAAAAGTAATAGCAAATTTGTATTGTATTATTTTTACGACTATAAAATCGTACATTTCTAAGAAATTATATATGCAGCACGTTTGTTTAGCATGTGCTCATTAAATATAAGTATTATATGTTTATAATTAAATAATATTATATTAGTATAAAAGTTAACGTGTTTCAGAGGACTCAATTATTATTGTTTCTAAAAAAAAAATTTTGTCACAATATTGGTATTAATTTTTTAATCGCGGTTGAAAAGATAATGAAATTTTTACATGTTTATATGTTCCTGAAATAAAAGAATTATAATATAATATTTTGTAAGAATATTATATTTAAATTAACACGCAACATAATCGTATGAATTCATATTCTCAATATTATTTTAAGGCGTTTTCAATAGTAAATAAATACATTATTAATTGTATAGCGTATTGATTTAATGTAATACTGACTATACGCTGGTTATGGTTTAATATGAATACTTTCGATGTATTAATAATAAGGCTGGGTGTAATTTTGTCGATATAATTATTTTATTGTAAGAGGATTACAATATAGATGATATTATTATTGAAGATTCTCTGAAACACTGTACACACAGCAATAATTAAATTATCTATTTAAATTATATGTTGTGAACAAAAATGTATTGTGAATTGTATAATGTAATGTGTATAGGTATAGGTTTTACGTTTTATAAGTAACCAATCATGTGTGTACAATATACATATTATATGTATACATACTTAAAAATATTTATTAATTATAAAAATGATTATCGTAATATATATATATATATATATATATATATATTATTATGATGGAATCAATTTTCAAAACAAGTAGTTTTATTTTTTAAATAAAGATTTTATACAGTAACAATTGTGTATAATATTATATGTTTAGTCGTGTTACTATATCGGTGGTGACACGGTAAAAGGGTTCTATGCGACGCGGCTTCACGTGTTTCGTCCATTACGCCTGAGCAAAAACAGCTGTGACCATTATTTAACGAACAATTTGAATTTTAAGTTTGGAGTAGTATTTTGTCTTCTCAATTATAGGGTCTGTACCCAATAATTGAGGACGAAAATAAAAGCTAATCAACAATTCGTATTCATATTGAGGACGTGCAAACAAACAAGAAATATCCAATGAAAAAATTCTCTATTCCAACCGAAAAAAGTTATTGTCAACCTAAAAAAAAAAAATAACACCATAATAAAGTCAATAAATTCCTTGCTACGTTCAGAATTATCGCAATGTAAAACGATACTGAACAAAATTTGTGAGTAAAATGTCAATAAATTTCTCGTTTCAGAATCTAATATGTAAGTACAATAAATATAATTAACACAAAATTAAAATTAAGTTAATTAGTTTTATAATATAAAAATACATAAACTAACTAAAAATGACTTTTAAATTAATTATATTATTAAAAAAAAAAAGTACTATTGGCAGATATAATATCATAATGGTTAAAATAAAATATAAATAATGTAACTTGAACTATGCATCAAAATAGGTGTATAAGTTAAGTTTATTAGTTTTTAAAATGTATGGTTTGAGTTAAAAATATAAATAATCCGATCTTTTGATGACTTTCACTCGAAGTATTATGGTGAAGATGGAGGCTGAAATAGGTTTTAAATACTTAATGTGTAAGTCATAGTAAGTGGCTATTTAATGGACCTTAGCTTCAAAAATGTTGAAATATTATTATGAAAATTTGGTTTATATTTATTTGTGACGTTGCTTTTAAAATTAAAAAAATGAATCCATTGGTATATTAGTACACTTGGTATTTGTGTAGTTGAAATCTCATATTTGTTAGAGTTAAACATTTTTAATTTTTTTTTTACTCAAATAGATTATTTTGTCTTTGTAGTATTTTATATACCTGGAATACATTTTTAATTTACTTTATATGTTTTTTATACAATTGGAGTATAGCCAGTTTATGTACTTATACCTTTTACTAATACTATATGGATGATATGGAAACATAATGACTTAAAGACAATAATTATATTGTTTTATTAACAGTCTCGGTTGGCACCTGTAATAGGCAAACATTCTGTCTGATAGGTGTAGTTGAAAATACGGTCGAACGCCTATAATATTTGAGGGGTGACGGCAAATATGCTGTTTTCGAAATTATTGAAACAAATATGTTAATTAATCAACTCAAATTATGAAGGTTTGTATAAACCTTCATAATTAGTAGAAAAACTCCGATAGTAATAATCTTATCTTAACTAGTCAATAAGCCATATTAGTAGCAACGTGTTTCGGCAGCGGTAAATATTAAATAATATTAAAACATAAATATAATTATTCTCATACAATGTCAAATAGGTTAAATAGGTAAATTAGATTTTTAATGAGGTGGTTATTATTATTATGAATTGATAGATACATACCTATATATTATAAACTGTATATTATTTACTGTCTTGTGTTCGTCGTCGTTTTATAAAAATTTATTCACGAGACGTAGTTATATTTATTTTTAAGACGGGTCCTAAAAAAATATCTGATCGTATTTTTAATCTTTAAAAGAGTTTTCTTCTTTGATTTGAAAAGTTCAATTAAATAATACAGTTGTTCAATTAAAAAAAGAACCGATAATGCTGATGGACTTGTCACTGTTGTGCGTGAGAAGTTGGGAAGGTGGGATGTAATTCATGCCTGTACGCAACTATAATTAATTATTGTTAACGAAAAATGATACTGAGCAAAGTTTAATTTACCGTGTTTGGAATGTCTTAATTTGTATGGTTTTCGTCAAAATTTGTCACTAAAATGCACCAATAAGAGAAAATGTACATAGTTAAATCAATAAATTCGCAGTAAAACCAAATAATGCTGAAATATACAAACTAAATTATTCATTATTCGTTTTTTTATTATTGTTATTCTAGGTTGTTTAAGTTATTTACTTATCCAATTTTTCATTATTTAAAATTATTCCAGTACCTATAATATGCAATCACCTATTTTTTATCGGATTAAATTATTGTCACTAATATTATGATTTTCAAAAAACAAATTATAAATGCTAATTTGACGTAGACACATGGACTGTAAATGCTTCAACAAGCTTCGATGAGTTATTTAAATTCTGCTTGTTTTTTATTAATTAAATTCCTTTTTTTTTAATCAAACGATAATATTATTCATATAATTCTGACTAAAATACTATGAATATGCTAATGCTTTAATTTAATAATCATAAGTGAGTTTAATGGTTTCAGTATTTCACCATCAAAAATAAGAGTGAACTAAGTTAAGGTTAGTGTAAAATTTTAGATTATATAATTCCAAAAAGTTTTTCCACTAGTCAAAATATTAGGCCTTTCATTAAAAATTTGATCGCTAATTTCAGTTTGTTTTTGGATGTGTGATATTCAATTTTTTCCATAGACCACGGACTACATCAATATTAATAGCAAAAAGTAATTTAAAAAATAGAAGACAGTAAATAATTGATCAGGTATACTTTTAACGTGAAAAAAATGAGTAATGCTTAGTAAAATCGAAAAAAAAAAAAAATAAAAAAATACAAATCCCTTAATATTTATATTTATATTTTCGACTTATATCTTCTGTACAAGTCAAACACTTAAAAAAAATAAATATATATATGTATAGATACTACATACATTATATTTTAAATAAAAGTGTACTGGTTATTTTGTAGTTTAGCAAATACATTTATATCAGGAACTAAGATTCTTATAATTTAACCTTTTGTGCAGTTAGTTTGTTAAGCAATGATTGTAAGTGCATCTAACATATCTGGGTTTATTGTAAATTTAATTAATTAATAGCTTGCTATTTGTTTATTAACCCATTGTTGTAATCACGATTGACAGTAAAATAACAATATTGTGAATATAAAAAATACAATTTAATTTTAATGTGAATAATGATTAATTATTGTATTATTTCAGCAGACCAATTGGGACTATTTTAATAATATGAGAAAAAACTGAACATCCTGACTTCCTCGCCCCAAATGACGCCCCTGATTGACCGTAATACGGATTTTGTAGAACAAATAAATCATAGTCAGTAGGTGTATACAGGTATACTCCATAAAACTAATCATAATATAGGTACTAACTATGGAAGATACATACGATAGGTTAGCAATTTAAAAATATAATATTTATATTTTAGATATTGATTGATGATTCATTAATAAAGTGATTATTGATTGGTTTCATTGTGATGTATATACGTCACGATAATGATGACGTTCGCACCAACTACGTTAAACGGCTAAATATTCTACATACCAGCTACAGGATTCGGTTGTAATCAATATAACAAATAATTAGGTATTGTCTACTGCATTGACTTATTTCTTTCGGACGCACAGAAATAAATTTGAAATAAAAAAAAATGTATGATGGTTATAATTTCGATGGTACGTCTGTAGACATAATCCCTATGTACATATTTACTTATACGTATCGGTGAAGTAAATATGACAAGTTTACAAGTAGTATAAAACTAATCATTGATTGCAACTGTAGGTACACAAAATTTAATTTATAACCAATAAACTATACCAGCAGTATCAAGCTATTATTTTAGCTATAATTTATTGTAGGTAGATGATCACACGTCATAAGACAAAGTCATATTGCAGTATTATAAATTGTAATTTACAACGATATAGTATACCTGCATACGAGTATTATAATGTGTACCTAAATGTATACATATATATATTATAATATCGGTATAGATACGATTTATCGGTTTGCGCGTTATACGTCTCATAATATTGCTAAGGATTAGATTAAATTTTAGTGTTATGTAACGCACCTAGGAATATTGTTTCGTTGAGTGATGTTACATACTTATGTTTAATATTTATACATAGATACTGCGAGCCGCATGCCCGCATTGATCAATGGTGTCAATAAGGTCGTACCGGTTATACGAGCATAGGTACCCATAATAATTTTAGAATACAATCGTATGATATGAATAGTGATGTTTTCGTATAGTGTTTTTACTCGTGATTATACAGTGTAAATCCATTATCGTTACAAAAATCCACACTTCACAGTACAGTTATTATTATTATACGCCACTAAAAGGCTGCAGCGAAACGACACGGTTATAGGAAACATTGTGAAAATAATAACATTTGTTTAATTTAACGAAAAAATATGTTAAACCGAGCACCGCTCATAATCGTTATAGATACCTCTATTAGTTGCAACGAGTTTTCAAAGATTGACCATTGACGAACACTTTGAAGGGGAGGGGGATTCAAACTTATTGAAATAAAAAGTGGATAACTTATAATATGATTTAAATTAGACAAATAGTATAGGTACAATTATATTAATTTACAGCAATACAAAAATTATATTTGTTTAAATTACCCCCGGAAGAGACGAAATTTATCGAATTTCTTCTTCAGCTTTTAGGTATAAGTCATTGAGGTCCATCACTACTCCACATAGTCTTTATTCCTCCATTTCTCTCTGTCATTTGTGATTTTTGCCGGGTTATTAACCCCAGGTATCCCGAAATTATGATTTATTTCTTATGTCTACCTTTTCTTCGGCCTGCTCAGTGTTCTTTTACCTTCTAGTTTCCAGTTCAGTGCGTCCTTTTTTATGATACTCAATCTCCAAACTTACCTCGGTCAGCTCATTGTTCTTCTTTTAAGTTAGTTAGTATACCTATGTTTTCTTCTCCCAATTCCTAAAAGTTCTTTAATTTCATTATTCGTATCGAACTTGTACCACCAGCATAAACTTTTTTTCTCTTATATTGTTATTACTAAAGATTATATTTATAAAGATTTATATTCTCTTATAATCCACAAAAATTCGCTTCAAAACATCAAACAATCTCTGAAAAAAACAAAGATGATAGAGGAGTTTAAAAGCCTTCTCACTAGTGGCTCTAATTTATTAAATTTAATTTCTTAACACTATAAAATTGATTCATACAAAATAATTTCTTTTAAATAAAATCGTACGTATTATAAAAAAAAAAAGCTGTCCTAGAATAATGAGGATATGTGCTGAATTGTAGACGGGAATTTGGAAAGGTAGAATACAGAAGGGAATTTAATGTGTATTTGTGAGGAACGATAAGCCATTGCTAATGAAAATACGATTCTGAGCACAGTTCAGTTGATAGTAATGCTTTGTCAGCATTATGTATGTCATATTATGGTAAAATAATTAAATAGGCATTGCCTATATTTATATAATAAATTCTCTTTAATAATGTTTGTTTAGTATTTTACCGATTTTCCCGTTATTTCTGCGTTTTTTCCCATGTTTCCTCAGTTCTTCGGGAAAATCGAAAAATAACTTCTTTAAAGTACTTCCCCAGTTATATTATTTTATTTTAGAAAAAGTGCTATCGTTGTGAATCGGTACAAAATTTCTGGTAAAAAAGTTGTCTATAGAAAAAAAAAAATTAAAAATTAAACATCTTTGTAAATCTAAGATGACTTTTTAATTCCCTTAAAGGGAAGACCCCTCTATTTTTTTGCTTTTTATATATTTTTTAAGTGATTTTTTTCAAGGCTTTTTGATGTTTTCAAGTGCTTTTTTGTGGATTTTAAGAACATATATATCCGGTCTCTATTTATTACTATTATTACTAGTTGTTGATTTATCATAGTTTATTAGACCTTTTCGTATACCTATCTTTCGATGCTACACCTCTACCTATTTTTGAGAACTCTAACGACCATAAATTAATCGGTTACAGCTCAAAATAGGAATAATGCCACGTACTGTGGCTACTTAAAATTATACGATATTTCGCACCAGCTATTCAAAACTTCTTTATTATAAATAAAAACAAACATACAAGAACGAGTCTCTCAAAAACAATAAGTATACATACATACATGTTTCGATTGAAAACTCACTTTGACCCGTTACCGCGGTGCTCGCGTTCTTAAATATTATTTACAATGTGCTGCCTCAGCTCATTTGCTTCATTGACCTATACAACAACCTTATAGCAAAATATTTTAATTATTATTCTATACGGCCAAGTGAAGTCGTGAAAACGTCTATAATGTGATTATTTTTTTTTCGCGTGAGTTTTCAATTAATTTTATAATAAATATATAATAGGTACAACTACGCGGGTACATAAAATATACACGTACTTGTACTATTTCTTCAAGGTATGTAAGCTACAAATATTTAGTAAAAATTTAAAATATTGTAAATTATGCCCAGTACCCACGTATAATACTTTTCCAAACAACTATGTAATATAATTATGAAATAGTATATGTAAAAACATAAAAAATCTATAGAAAAAAATATATTCAGGGAAAAAAAAGTCTTGAGGGGGGAGGGAATTCTGGAGGAGAAAATGTTCGCCCAAATATTACCCAAGTCAGCCAAATTGATTTGGAAAATAATCCAAAGACTGGTGAGATTATTAATGCTATTATTGCCGATGGGTGTGCCGCTGTTTTAAGAAGGAAGTTGGAAGACAGGATACATAGAGTAATTTAATTTATATCTATAAGCAACGATAAATCATTTGTAATGAAAAAAGGATTCTGAGCAGAATATTACAAGTCTCATTTTTTCCCTTGTTAGCTGTTGCCAAGATAACAAAAAGTATAGGTACGAACGATTGCCGGTTTTTCCCATTTATTAAGATATTCTACGAGAAAAACAAAAATGTCCTCCTTGCACCAACTAGATCGAAAATGCTACAAGAAAGTTCCTGTAAAGTTTACAGACACAACAAAATAAAAACAATGTGTACATTCCTCAGTTCACTCAAAATCTAAAATCGAGAATTATAATTGGTTCTCGAGCAAAAATGAAATAACAAATAATGAATTATTTTTTTCGTTATTCGTACAGGTATCCATATAGTGTCGGTCAAATAATGCACTCGGCTACTCCCTTGGATAAAAATAAAAAAAAAACCGACTTCGTTACGCCCCTCCGCCAGGCTTTAACGAACATCGCCCGTCCGTGTGCACCGTAGGTACCTACTTATACACACGCACGCACACGCACACACACACGCATCATATTATAATACTAGTATTTCTATACAAAACAAACATTTCATTACTGTTATGTATAGCGAAACGGCGCGGACGAAAATCATTAATTCAATACCTACGCGCAGTGTGGGTGATGTGCAGAGAAATAGTGTAAGTTGTAACGACTACAAATTCTGTTCTACAAAAAACCGCATACGCGAGCGCGCGCGACGGCAGCGGCGAACGAATAAAACTCGCCCGCGGTGTTTCGGCACATGAAATTATAATTTCAGGCGCCGATCGATATTCGGCTTACATTCGAGCTCGTATTGTTATTGTACAATACATTCTAATAAAATACCCGGCACCTTTGATATCTTTACGGGAACGAGGGCGTACGTCGATTTCTTATGGTTTTCAACGCGCGAGCAAACCGAAACGTCGTTTGGCTGTTACCAAATGGCTACATGCGATTTATAATACAACGGCTTGCGCTTTTCCCGCCAGGCAAAATGTACACTCGCAGCGATTCCGAGGTATTATTTCAATTTTCGGCGCGTAACACGATATACGGGGGGGAAGGTGTGTTACGACTCGGGCGCGGACTGGTGAGAAAAAAAATGCACGGGGTGCTGTATCGTTTTGGAGCGGACGTCGACGTTTATTGGAGCAAATTAAAAAGAATACAATGCAATTCGAAAAAGCCACACATGGGTACTTCCTACCGTGGGAATGTAAGATGTACAATATAGTATAATGGTCGTTTGATATTTATGTGTCTGTACGCATCGCCGCTATACAGCATCTATGTAGGCGTCATTACGGGATAGCGAGGGGTAGTAATCGTTACCCCACCATTTTCGTCAGGGCTGCGGAGTAATAACTACGATACCCCATGAGTATTTGCTGAAAAAAAAAAAAAAAAAGTACTTGTAATCGTCTTGCTTTTTTCATAAAGCAAGACAATCAATTTAAAATACTATCACACGAATGTAATAATTATACTATCGGCTGTATTGAATTCGAACGTGTTTTAAACGAGAATTCTAATATAAAGTGTTGATAAAAATAAATTGCAAAATGTTGTACCGTCCAAGTAAAAAGAAAAGAACTTGGATATTTTTAAAAATAACACGACGTCTAAAAATTCAGTGTTAATATATTATTAAGTAACATATTTAATGTAAAAATGTAAAATAATCCATGATTTATTGAATTGTCGTATAAAAATTATTCTATGTTACTATATTATCGGATTATTATGATTTTCTTATGAAAAAATCATATTCGTTTTAAATAGATTTATTAATGAGGACAAATTCGTACCGCTGTAGCACACGGCACACCAGCCAATCTGCGCCTTGTTAGACTAGGTATACATCATACATGCATGTGTGCCATTTAGGCACTTAACAAATTTAAGGGAACAAAATTCCGTAAACTCGCATTTTATTTTAGTAGTGGCTCTAGCTCCCAATATTGTTATGCAATTACTACTGTCCATCCATTATTATTCAACGTATAATATTGAAATATAGGTACGTTGAGTAAAAAAAAATTTTGATAATGCGGTTGGTCACGGTGACTTATGTTTCAGACGATTTAGACTTAAAATCCAGACAAAATTGTTTCAGTCTATTTAGTGGTTTTGTTTTTTTTTTTTTATTATTGGACGCGTTGGAAATAGACATTTTGAATTATCATTTATTTTACTGAAAATCGTTAAACAATTTAATTTTGTTTTTGAAAAATGCTCGGAAATATACTTGAAATATTTTACCTACTCATGATAAAAATAATTTAAAAAAAAAAAAATAATTCTAACGTAACTAAATAGTCTTTAAAGAGAAACTATTTGTTTGTATGTTTGTAATGGATGAGCTCAAAAACTATCTAACCGATTCCAAAACTTCTTTCACCTGTAAAAAGCTACATTATCGGCGAGTACCATTGTCTGTATTTAAAGTTCAAGAATATTTGTCATCTCTTCGAAAATTACATTAATTCGATTTTCTGGTATTTTTGATACGAATATCTAATTGTTTATTTATGATTGATGACCTTGGTGACATGGTAGACGGTTTGGTTGTCACTCTACTCACGAACAAGAAAACTATTGTTAGTAGTAGTAGTAGTAGTAGGTATTATAATTTACATGATTATCTAGCAATAGCAAAACGTTGTCGGGTCAACTATAGTACCTGTAATATTCACAGTGGAAAACCTAAAGAATTGAAATCCGTCAAAACAATCAAACGCAATTACTTTACAGTTTTGGTTTAAAACGTCGTAATACCCGTCCGTAAACCGTTTCATCGTGATAGATTGGACGTAGGTTAGGTACCTATCCAGTGAAAAAGTCTCACCAATAAGGTCGTTAAAATGAAAAAGAGAAAAAATATATAATGTTTATATTTTTATTCCGTAAACCGTCAGACTGTGCGTCGTGTATCGACTTTTCACGTTCAAATTTCCTCCACCCCTCTCCTCCCTCTTTTCTAACCAGATTCGAAAAGAGAATGTTGAATTTTTAATACATTTAATACGCATAACACTGTGCTATTGGATTTATCGTTTATTAGTTTGTAATAATATAATAACAGTTTAAAATTGTAGATCGGAGGATACGTAAACGTCCAATCTGACACACAACTGCATATACACTGTACTTAAACGTACCCAAATGCCAGAGTTCAACCACAAATTGCATTACGCCACGGACTTTTATAATCCCAACCAGCGTTGTACGCGGGGAGGGGGAGAGGGAGAGGTTTGGTGTTATATCTCTCTCCTTCCCCCCCCATTGGCCTAAGAATACAAACAAATATATTAAGTAATTTAATGTCGAAACGCATAATATAATATTTCAGCCAAGTTACGAGGAAAAGATTGATGTTTTGATTAGAAATTGGCTTTTTTTTTAGGATCCGGCTTTTAAATTATCAATTCCCATACAGCCGAATTATTGGGTGGTGAAAACGATTCTAATCGCTACATACTCTCCCGTTGATAATCCCTGGACACGCCACCGATCCCAACGCTATATTATAAAATACGCAATCAATCAAATTTTCATAAAAAATTCTAGAGCGGAGTCAAGACCAACCCTTTCAGTCGTCAGCTTAGATGCGTGTAAATTATTATTAATACTGAAATAATGCTAATACGATCAATACCTATTCTCACCGAGCAGTGTGTGTGTCGTGTGAACGAGTGGTGAAACGTATTAAAATACCACCGCACATTAAGCCTCGTTTACACGATAACACATAAGGCCCGTTCTCACCGTCATCGACATTCGATTATCCACTTGGGCACATGGGCCAGTTCTCGCAATGTCCGATCAGCGCTAACCGACAGAATTTGGCCGGTTTGCGGCAAATATAATCGCCGCCGGTCGTCGCTAATATTGGACATTGTAAGAACGGACGCATAAGTGCCTTGACTTTTCGCAAGCACGCGGCGTCGCATACTATCGACATTTTGTATAATATTATGCGGCAAGTCACGTCGCTCCGATTGCACTACGGCATCGGTGTCAACGCGTGAACGAGGCCTTACCGCAATGCGATGGCACGCGTGATAATGGCGACGATTGATAATGACAGTAATATTATCGGGGGGGAAAAACGCAGTGGCGACGATGGCGCGGCGCGGCGGGGACGAGTCGACGTGTTCTCGGGAATTATAATTTTGTATTATTATTCTCTACGACGGCGCGGCGTCGCCCGCGTGACGGCGGCCGACGAGCCGGCGCGGCGACGGTCGGTGGCGCGACGAGGGGGTCATGGGCGGCGAGGGGAGTTTCAGTGTTTGTCGACGGCAGGACGGCGGCCGTATAATAATACGAGACGCGGCGAGAGCGGAGGAAACGCACGGAAAAAGCGGAGAGAAAAAAAAACATAAAATAAAATGAACAAAAACCCGAGCCGAAAGGAACGCGCACGGTATTAATGCGGGCTTGGCGAACGGTGGGGGGGAAGAGAGGAGGGGAGGGAAACGAGAAAAAAAAAAAAAGCTAGCCGCCATCGCGCTTCGGTCGCTGACGCCGCCGCGCAACAGTCTCCGTCCGTATTCTCCTATCGGCGGAACGGAACACGCGATCGCTCGGCCGCCGCCGGAACGCGAACGCCGCCGCGGTAACGAAAGCGGCCGGTCGTTATCTGAGCCAGCGCAGCCGCCGTACGCTTCGACGGAATTTCACGACGATCATTATAACGCGCGCGCGCGCCCGCACGCACGCACACGCACACACGCACGCACACACGCACGCACACACACACGCGAACGCACCAACACAACGATATTATACGACACCACTACAAGAACAGTAGTACCCCGCCACCGTCGCACGAACGCAGTGTTACGCTACGCTCGTTTCCGTCCCGTTTGCGAACCGCTGCGCTACGACTGATAACTGCTGGCGTAGATAAATGGAAAAAAAAAAAGGAATACGCGTGAGCGCGGTATTATTTTAACATGACGTACGGACGTTATAATAATAATATAATATCATTGTAGTAAATATCGTAGTTTGATACGCGATACGTATCGCTCAACCGCGTACGTAGGTCAGACTCGTTGTTACGAGTGCGGTTGCGCAGTAGCGCGGGCGCAACACGCACACACGCCGCCGCGGCCGGACAATTAGTTTTCATTGTTATAAAATAGCGATTATTATAATATATTAATATTATATGCTAAGCGTCGTGCGTTCCTGGACGACGAGTGCGGTGTGCGCGCGCGATATAGAGAGGGAGCGAGTAAGAGGGAGAGGGAGCGAGAGAGAGTGAGTGAGAGAGTGGTGTGAGCGAGAGAGAGGGTTGACGGGCGAGCGGACGGAGCGACACGACAGACGCACGGCGATAGCGCGCCGAGGACCAAGCTAGCCCGAGTGTCGGCGAGCGGGGACGTGGTGTCATTACAACAGCAGCAACAACAACAACAACAACAACAACAACAACAACAACAACAACAATAATAATAATATGCGATTGTTATTATTATGCGCGTATCGTGTCGTCGTTTTGTTATCGGGAAACGGTTTTCGACGAAATGCGGCGTGGTGAACGAGTGCTACGGACGACAGCTCTTCGCGACGACGGATACGACGACGACGTATGACGAAGATTCCGACGCCGACGTCTGTTGTCCGCCGTACGGTACCCGCCATCCGGCCAGACGCTCTTTCGCCGCTGCTGAGCACGGTCCGCTGTCCGCCGCCGACCACCTAGTCCCGACGACCCGCCGTCGATATTACACCAGACTTGTCTAATCGCAACACCCAGTTTCGTAACCGCCGTCGATAAACGAAACCGGATCGGGGAGACTACCATTGTACCCACACCGGCGAGTTCACTCGTCGCGGGCGTCGCATTACAACGGTTAGTAAAATATTGAACGGACGTTTTTAATAAGACAATGCCAGTGGTAACCACTTGTTCTCTGACGTACACATCGAACTTGGGCGCCTGTAATATTTTACCGCAACTCGATTTTCGACTCCACTGCGCACACCGTCGTTTTAACAGCCGCGTGCAATTACAGCACCAATCGGGTCAATTGAAACCGGCGGTAGTTTGGCTTAGGCGTTTTAGGTAGGTACCTACTTAGTTTATGTTACGACCAACGCGAACGATTTATGTACGATGTTCCATGTTCCACGAGTAGTAACCAACACGCATCTGTCTAATGTCAATATCGGTGTGCGCTTTTATAATTATTAGTATATCGGTTACCTATCAATGTTGTAACGTTAACTATATGAAAGTTTCGACCCGGTCGATTGTTCGCTTTGTTGACGATTCGACCATTTTTAAAAACACGTTGGAAACAATTGTATTCAATCGGGTACTTGGCTATTCCAGTGTATTTATTTTTACAAATACCTATCGCATTACGGCTTAAAACAAATCTGACATAATTTAAACTGTTTGCTTGTTTTTACAAATGGAATGCCGTTAATTTGTATTATAAACGATGTAGGTATTTGACGATGTTGAATTTCAAATGTCTCATGCAGAACAATTCATTTTGCAATACCCGGCCATTTAGCAACAGTTTATAATACATTATGCAAGTAGGTGCATACCTATTTTGCAAAATATATTTTAAACAAATGAATGGTACCTAAAACTTTCCTATTTGTCTTATTTTTTTTTTTTCTTTGAGTCTATAGTAGGTAACCTATCTATTGTAAAATATGTAAAATGTATGCAATTTGTATCTGGTTAAAATGTGCATTCTAGTCTTGTGTATAATTGAAAATTGATAGTAAATAATGGATTTAAACAAAAACTGTAGTCTACTTCCTTATGTTACTAATATTACTACAATTACATAATTTTCAGCAAGATTTTTTATTTTTTTATTTTTTATTGTATACATGTTTATAAATAAATATTTCGTTGTTCATATTTAATTTTTTTTTTTTTTATATAGATTAGGTTGGTATATATTATTTTACATTCTAAGCTAAACAAAATAAGACAGTTATTCATATTACAATGTTATGTAGATTTTTTTTATGACAACACTTAAATATACCTAGTTAAAATCAGTAGCGGGTCCAGGAGTGGCGATCACCTCCCCCTCCGCTTACTCTTTAATATATCCTGATTTTATTATATTTATGTGCCTTATTAATTTGTATAATTATAATATATATTTTCAAAGTATCCCCTACCCGTTTTCTTGTCCTGGATTTGCCCTAGGTAAAAACGCACAATGTGTTTTGTTCGTAGCCATTGTTGTAGGTTGAATTATGATAAGTAGGAAAGGTTAGATGTATCGAGTAAGTTAATTTAAATACTATTATAACGATAAATTGTTGTAAAAAAAAACACCATTCTGAGTTCAACTAAATATTTTTTGATAATTTAAAATTTTAATAATTTGTTATAAGGTTTAAAATACAAATATTTTAAAATAAATGTTGAATTCAAAACGATTAAAATCACCTCAGAATTTTAAAAATATACCTAAAAACTTATTATTTTTTTTTTTTTGTTCTGTTCAGTACATTATTTACGAATTATTTGTTTGTATTTGACATGGTTCAGAAATTGATTGGCCTTCCTACAACTGGTAGGTAACCCCAACATACTGAGAAAGGAATGGTTATAGAAAAACTTCTTATAATTTGCACACAGAGATACCCAAATTAAACTGAAATCTCCTAAAATACTAGGAGACTGGGTAAATAGGCTACTTAAGTTACTAGTTACCTTACGACAGCATAGTTAAGTATTTTTCAGTTTTTCGTACGATACGTATGTACTAATAATTAGAATAATAAAATTAATATATTATGTATATTTTTTATTATTCGCAGTGCTGTAATAAGATACTTTAAATTAGTATGTAGATACAGATACAAGTATCTTAAGAGTATCATAAGATATATTTTAAGAAAACAGATACATTTTTTATAAATACCTATTTAATTCATTAAAAATATAGAATTACAAAATTATAAGAAAACAAGTAATGGGTACATAATTTATAATACAATAATTTTTATCTACATTTTAATGTCAGTTTTCAAATATAATTTTATTTTTATAAAGTTATAAGTTATAATACAATTGTTGTCAGTTATAATACATAATATATAATAATATTAAAATATTGGTTAATTATTGGTAAACATAAAATTAGTAATGGGTATTATCTACTTGTCAATACACAATAATATTATAACAATAAATTGTTGATATTTTTATTTTAAAAACATTAGATTTTAGAGTTTTATGTTTAATTTTTGTATTATTTTTTAACAAAAAAAAGTAATAATTGTATCTTAAATACTTTAATTAAGATTTACAATATTTTCTATCTAAGATGCAATTACAGATACATTATTTAGAAAGTATCTAGATACAGATAAAAAACACAAAAAAGTATCTAGATACTGTATCTTATGCACATGTATCTAGATATATTACAGCACTGATTATTAGTATGTTAATATTTGTATTGTACTATAATTGTTAGTATTTCATAATGTCTATTAGTGATTCTAGTAGCACTGAAAAAATTATTTTTTATACACATCAAATTTTTAAATACCACATGAAAAAACGCAGAAAATAATGTTTGTTTAAATCTTATTTCGAAAAAAAATATTATTGCAGACTATTCGTCGCTGCTAAGGAAATGCAAGAAAATGATTCCCGATTTCTTACATTCTATAGAATGAGAAAAAAAAACTTACCTTGAATTAAAGAAATTTGTCCTGCTCTTCATTATACAGACAGTAAAATGAGGCAACTCAATCAATGTCAATTTACATGTCTACTTACTAATTGACTAGTTGTGTCGGTTTATCAATTGCAACGATTTTAGTAGCCCCATCTGTTGTTTTTCAGCACAGTTGTTTAGTTGCCTAGTCTCTTAGTATCTAGGCTATTTCAGTTTCTTCTGAGTATCCCCATGTGCGTAGGTCCCTCCTAAAGTTTCATATTTATCTATTTTTGCTAATGTGCAAAACAAATATACAATTGCTACAAGTCTTCTGCCCTACTCATAATTAAATCCATTTTTTAATAATGGTGGAGATTTTATTATACATAAGTTGTTTAAATCTAACAGTGATTGAATTAGATATGTCAATCAAATTATAAAAATAACATAAATAGTGCTTGACTAGCAAGAGTAACACATAGTCTATAGTCCCTGCATAGTAGTTTAAATATAATATAGGTAGACCAAAACAATTTTAGAATGGTGTACTAAATAGTGAAGGTATTGGAAAACCTAGAATCCAAAAAGGAGTGACCAGTGTTGTTGTGTTCCTTAGAAAAAACTCTGAATATTTTGAAAGTATACCATATTTAGAAAATTGTATAATAAGTATTTCGTGAACATAATATTATGTCTTCAATTATTTTTCACTGAATTGCTCACAAGTAAACAAAATAGATTTTACTAGAAACCTTACTTGCATTAATGATTGTGTTATTTTCAAGGAAAACAACCACTTTCTTAATGTACTGTATCAGTCAACATTTTCTAGAAACCACTCTGAAAGTTGATGATTGGAGCAAGACAATTTGTTTATTGACATAAATAAAAAAATATATTATATAATATTAATACATTTTTTGTTTCACTCATAATCAGAAAAATATAATCAGTTTTTAAATGTCTGTAAATAATTATATATACTTACCTATTGAAGTCTTATACAACATTGCAAAGTACTTTTTAATTTGTATTTTAGTAATCTTGATTAGTGATTATAAAACCTGCAGGTACATTGATGTATTTTATAATACAGCTTAAATTAATTTATCTTAAAACTACTATTCTGTCTTAAAACCTTGTAATATATAATTATATACCTATATATAGGTATTTTTAGTTAATTGTGTGTTAGATTATTATTTGAGTAATAATCAAGGTACTTATAACTTATAAATTATTATAACTTCAATTAGGTACCCAAGTACATATATTTATGAATTCTTGACTAAATACATAAAAAACATTTTTTTTTTTAAAGAAAATATTTATATTTATATTGTTTAATAAATACATAATAAGTAATTATCAGTGTGTTTGAATTGCAGTCCAAAAATAATATTTTGTTCAAGTTGCTTCCCCAATTTTCTCATGACAAATTTATGTTGTGGCTCTATTTAAAAGTGATACTTACAAATTTTCTATCTTAAATTATTTCATTATTTTCATTCAATTTAAAATAATTTTTACATTAATATTTGGAACACGATTAGCTCTGAACATTACCATTTAAATGTTTTTGGAAAGCGGATTGTATATTTATACAATATTACTTTTAATTGTTTAATTTGTTCTCTAAACATTTTCATTATTTCTAGGTTGTCCAATATTATATTGTTGCAAAGTACATATTAAGTTTAAATGATTATATATCACAGTGTAATTAATGTTAATATGAACAAAATTAATTTCCAACAAATTATTTATTAGTTTAAAAAAATTGAAAAATTTTGTTAAGTGGTATTCACTGATAAAGTATTGATAAAACTGGTTAATACTGAAATATTTAAAAATATTTTTATCACCAAACATATATAAATAGAATAAAATTTATTCATGTGTACGCAATTCGGAAACAGTTATTGAAAAACCATGGGTGCAAATATTGCTGATGCAATTCAGTTGTCATAACATAATAGATATTTTTCTTTTTAGGGACGCAATTCGTATGCAGCAGTAATTATTTACTACATACTTAGATAATTTTAATATTGTCAAATTTGTAGGTTAGCTACTTATATTTGTATTAATTATTATTTTATTCAAAATTTGATTTTGTATAAGATAAAATTAATACGAGGTTTGGTTATTAAATAACGAGACTGCGCGCGCAGTGAGCGTCCCAAAAAGGTTAGGGGAAAACCGAATACAACGCTGGTTAGCTGGAAGTGTCTATTATGCCAGTACAAAATTGAGTTTTTGTTGGTGCATTAGTATTTTTTCTGTAGCGTTTAGAAACGAACATGTTTTTTTGTCTTGCCGAAAACGATGTGTGACGAAAAACATGAGCAACGGATAAACGTAAAATTTTCTCGTTAAACTAAAAAAAAACTCCAACTGAGTGCTATAAGTTGTTAAAAGAGACCTATAGTGAGGATTTCCTATCTCGGGCGCGTGTTTTTGAGTGGCATAAATTATTTTCTGAAGGTCGAGAGTGCACCGGAATCCAATTCAGTCGTAATCCAAATTCAAAACCATGCTGATNGCAACATTGCGCGAATGAGTTCGTAAGAAACGGTCGATATTGTGGAAAAACAAGTCGTGGATCTTGCACCAGGATAACGCACCTGCCCATAATGCGCTGTCTGTGAAGCGTTATTTGGCCGCTTAAGGCACTCCAGTACTCGAACACGCGTCATACTCACCCGAATTGGCACCCTGCGACTTTTACGTGTTTCCGAAGATAAAGTCTGCCTTAAAAGGAATCCGGTTTGAGTCGATGGAAGAGGTGAAACAAAAATCGGCGGAACTCCTGAATGGTCTTATAAAAACAGACTTCCAGCACTGCCTCGAGCAATGGAAGAGACGAATGAAACGGTGTGTGAAGAGGGGAGGAGAATATATTGAAGGGGAACATTTGGTTGTGGAATAATTTTTAAAATAAAACCATATTTTTCATAAGCAGTCTCGTTATTTAATAGCCAGACCTCGTACATACCTAGTTAATTTATATTGAACCAATTGTTAGTAAAATTTAATTTTCAATACTATTTGGTTCTAGGTATGTGCTTAACTATTTTAAATTTAATACATATACATTTTCATTTTTAAATCTTGTTTTGTGTATTAATATTTTTCTGGTATACCTAAACCTAATTATTAACTATATCTAGTTTTAATAGTTTAATATATAAATGTCTTTTAAATACTCTATGTTGATGGAAAATGCTCTAATATATTAATTACCTATTAACCAAATTATAAACTATTCAATTTTGAATTGAAGTAAAATTTGTCATTTCAAATTATTGTAGGAACTTATTTGGTTATTATTATGATTAGTCCACTTAACTAAGTAAACATGTTTTTTTTTTAAGATCCAACCAATTAATAATATTCTAATAAAAAGATATCAAAAAAAATTAAAATACTAGATAGTCTACTATATTTGATAGCAAGTGACCTACTGTCAGTGTTTTAAATACACCTAAACAATAATTGTATGCTCTCTAAATTATAATTAATGTATTGATTATTATTTATTTTATTAAGTATTACTATGTTTTAATTATGTATTACATTTGTTTTAGGTTTATGGTATACCTAATATGATTTAAATAATAATAATAATAAAAAAAAACAAAATGGAAGAAAACAAAAAAAGGACCATAGTGTCTTCTGGTAATTCCAATTCATCGTTAACTCCAGTTAAAATTCAAAAAACTAAAGGTATCTATGAAATTAATATTATTAAGATAAAAATATTTAGAATACAGTAGAATAAATATAGATTTGAATGAAAATAGAATTGTTGTTTAATACAAAGGCTATAATTAAAAATTCTTATTTTGCAGACACCAATGAAAAAGTAGAAAATGATGATGATTGTAACATGTCTAAAGTTACTAGAGCAGCTGTTGCAAAAAGCTCTAGTTCCAAAACAGTAATGAAACATGCTTTGCGCCAACAAGCTAAACGAAGGCGCAAAAACACTACTATTGCTGCTGGAAATGTCGCTCCTCTTCCAAGAATTATTCTTCCATCAAACCAGATTACTAGTAATTATATAATTATAATATAAAGTAATAGTTAAGTATAATATTTTATTTATTTTTATATTACATACTAACCTAAGTCCAATTACAGTTATGTATTTTAAATAATTAAAGTATTTCCAGTAAACTATAAACTAATACAGATAATACTATCCCATATTACTGAACATTAAATATTTAACTTAAGACAGTTTTTAAATATATAGACTGTTTACAAAAGGGCCTATCATATATTTATTTGCCAATTGTAACTTTTGATTAATCGGTGAATTTTAATAAAAAAAATGTGGTAATATGTTTCAGTACTATCAAATAAAATATTAATTATTTTACATTTTCATAAATTACATTAATTCCTTATAAAATGACTTGTATATTTATTAGAAATTAGCAAACTTTGGTTGTTATTTTTAATATTAAAGTGAATTTACCTATTATAGAATTTAAAGATATGGATGTTATCTGTATTATTTTGTTGTTTTTCTCTTGTTATTTTAATTTTGAAGTGAGTTATAAACATTTTACTATTGTGATATTTTATACAATCATATATCCCACTTTAAAATTTAAATAATGTTCATATCTTTGAGTTTGATAATAGATAAATTCACCCTAATATCAAAATTAACAGCACAAAGTTGTTTTTGTTAAACCAAAATGTTGTTTGCTGTTATACAAAATATGAAAAATCTTACAAATCTTTGGACAATAAATAGTAATTATAATTGACATTATATTCAAAAACAATTATATTTCTACCTGTATAAATTTTGATTTGTGATTATTGGGAGTGATGCATGATAAAAAGGGTTAAATAAGGGTTAAAAGAAAATATATGCAATGAAATTGCTGAGAGTCTAGTGAAGATTAAATAAAAATGAAAGTTTTAGAAATGAAAATGTTGATGGTAGGTAGAGGATGTAAACTGGACACTGCTTATAAGATTCACAGATGTAAGGCTCAGTTGCTTATTAGACTCAAAATCACTTGGAATGTTCTAGATATATCCAAATACATTCTATGCATTCTCCACTTTGCCTATTAGGTTTATTTGATTAGAAGACTTATTTTGTGCTAATCTCAAAGTGAGTCTTCCAAGCAGTGTCAACTGTATATGGAATAGATGGAAAAATATTAATAGGAGAGCGAGTATCTGACCATAACTTGTATGGCATTAAGTCAAAGGAAAAAGATACATTTTACTTCTAAGTGTAATTTTATTATCTATTTGGTTAATCCTTGGCCTTAGTAGCCCAAGAGAAGTCTTTTGAACAATTAGATGATACCCCGAATAATGATTTAGTTGTTTTACAAAATTATTTCACAAATTGGTATACCTAACTAAAGGCTAATAAAACAACAACAGTGGCCTTTCATTTGAACTTCCAGGAGGCAAATAGAGACCTTTAATTATAAATTGACAGTCAATATTGAAAATGAAAAACACCCTAGGTACCTTGGTATTAAGCTTGACAGAAACCTAAATTTTAGACATTTTAGAGGTGTTGTCACACCTTGAAACAACTAAAAACATCATATTAAAATGTAGGACTAGGTAGGGTTGTAAGGCAACCACTCTCAGTATTATCCTACAGTGTAGTTGAATATTGTGCTCTCCTATGGACAAGGTGTACTCACTGCAAGAAAATAGATGAAATGTAGCAATGAGAATAATCATAGGTACAGTGAGAAGCACTCCAAGTCAATGGTTTCCTGTTCTCTTAAACAATGCCCTTCAGAAATCTGCAGACAAATAGCTACACAAAGTATGATCAGCAAAATGTAAGGGAACAATAACCTGCCAATCTATCATGACATAGTACAACACCCAAATAAAACTCTAAAATCCAGACGCTCTATATAGGAAAGAGCCACAAACGATAGCGACTTATAGGATAAATGGAAAAGTACATGGTTAGGTTGTGAGGTATGAAACTTGTCCCTAGTTGGAGATCTAACAGTAAGCGGTTCAGGAGTCAACTTACCATTTGCCTTATAGACCACCTTAAATCACATAATAACTGAGCAGGGAAAATGCAATTACTTATTACACAAGTGGGAAATGGTGGGGTCTCCTCTATGTAGCTGCTGAAAAGTACAATCTCTCAGAAACATAGTCAAGAATGCCCATTAACAAATTTCACAGGAGGTTTAAAGAAATCCACATAGCCAGCATGGATGCTATAGAATGGATGAAACACTTAGGCTGTGACCAATTTTAATCAAAACACTGAAATATCATGAGCTACCAAATTATTATCAATTTATTTATTAATAGGCTTATTATTATTATTATTATTTTTTATTACTGTGACTATATTATTATTAATTATTTATTTGCCATTTGCGCTAACCATTTCATCATCTTGTTTAAAATAAACAAAATGGATAAAATTGAAAATATTTTTAAAAAATTACTAGTATTTATTGTTTTAAATTTATTTAGGCAATGAATTCATTATCTTAACCCATTTACGCCCAAGATTAATTTTTGTATGTGTACAAAATGTTATACAACTATACAATGCAAAATAATATCATCGGGTCGATTATTATATTTTCCAACAGTCTAAATCAATGTGGGGAAAATTCTAAAAATAAAACTGATAACAATAATTATTTCCAGTGTCCTACATATAGGCCACTGGGTTTATGTGGGTTAATGTTTTAAATTATTTTGAATAAATATGGGTTGTTAAATAATAATTCTAAATATTATATATATATATATATATAATAACCCAATGTAATTGTGTTTACAGCTGATGAAACAGAATCTAGAGTACCTACAATGTTGGAAGTGTTATCATCTATTCCGGGATTTAGTTTAGTTAAACCACGCAAACGTCCTGGTTCTAAACGGTTATCTGCAGCTGCTCAGTTGCAACAAGCAAAGGCTGATGGATGTGTTGATTTAGAAACACCAGATTCTGTTCTTACACAAATAAATTTGAGATCACTTTTGAATAAACAAACATTTTCAATGCTCCCTCGACTCTATCAACATAAACTTGTCCAATTGTTACCACATGTTGACCGAGAAACTTTAAGTGATGCACAATCAGATTTCAGGTTTGCATACATATTATGAAATATATTTTTATATTATGATGCAATTACAATGTTATTAACAATATTTTAATAATTTAATCTATTTTTCAGACCATTACTAAACTCATCAGTTTTAAATAATGAGTTTTTTGCACAAGCATGCCTTGAATGGACAGACAGATTAGCAGAAGGTGAATTCACTCCTGAAAATCAGCAAAAAATGAAATTGGATCTTGAACGTGAAAAATTCAAACTGGATCCATTTAAAGTAAGCTATATAATTCAATAATAAAATTGATAATTACATACAGAGAAATTTAATTGTATGAATATCTTCAATCAATTATTTATAACTCCTAACTAAATAATTTATTTAGGCATATCTGATTAGTTTATATCTAATATATAAATAATACAATTAGGTAATATTTTACTTTTCTTTTAAGTTTCATCTACATCTGATAAATAGCTTCTCACAGCTTTTCAGAATAAAGTAAAAATAAAACCAGAAATATTTTGTATGTGTAAGTAGGTCACTTAAATGTATTAAATATGAAAAATTGTAATTTGTACAGTACAAATATAATTAAGTTTTTTTTAAACAACTTGAAGTATAGTTGTTACCATCAACATTTTATTTAAATTTATAATAGTTTCAAAATATAAAAATGATTATTATGAATAGAATTTTATGTTACTAAAAAAACAATACTATTTATTTTAAATATTGTAAAATATGAGTATTGTGCAAAAGTTATTATGCACCATATAGTTATTATTTAATTGTTTAATTTTATATTAATTCTATACTTGTTTGTTTATATGTTAATATAATGTATTTTTAATTTCAGTTGAAGCATTTTGAACCTATTTGGGGTGACAGTAAAGTATCACATTCGAGTGTGAATGCGCCAACTCCTCCTTCAAATTGGAGTTATCCTAAGCAAAAAGTAACATCAACTATCACTGCTCCTGTAACTACGTCTCCGATTACAACTGATATTGAAATGAGTGTGACAACAACATGTTCATCATCTGGTGATATTAAAACTGCTGATAGTCATACTGAAAGTATTGAAATTAAAGTTATTGAAACTGAAGATATTAAAGTTGAAGATATTACAACTGAAGTTCTTAAAACTGAAGATATTACAACTGAAGATTTTACAGCTGATGATATTACAACTGAAGTTATAACAACTGAAGATATTACAGCTGATGATATTACAACTGCAAATGTGACAACTGAAGATACTGAAGATATGATTGATATAACTGAAAATATGAAAACTGAAGATATGATTGATTTAACTGAAAATATGACAACTGAAGATGTGACTGATTTAACTGAAAATATGACAACTGAAGATGTGACTGATTTAACTGAAAATATGACAACTGAAGATGTGACTGATATAACTGAAGATGTGACTGATATAACTGAAAATATGACAACTGAAGATTCTGAAGATATAACTAATTTAACTGAAAATATGACAACTGATGATATTAAAACTGAAGATATCCAATTACAACTACCATGGGATTCTGTTGATTCCACAATAGATTCTACAACAAGCCCAATAATAAAGGATGTGGTTTTACCAAATGTAAGTGTTTTATAATATATTTAATTTAAATGTTAATATGTTAGTTGCTGTTGATCATGTAATAGTGATAATTTAGTCAATTTTTTTTATTTACCTAATTTATTCTCTAAACTATTTGTATATATTCCAAATTTAGTTTGTTAGTTTAATTTATCCAAGTTTTAGTTCATCAAATCTTAAAAGTTGGATATTTTAAATCAACACTTGATTAATAGGTAAAATTTTAAAACTGAATGAACTATAATTTTTTTTTTAGATCAGTATTAATATAGTTAATATAGTCTTCTTAACAAATTAATTCCTATTTTTGTTATTCAAATGGGTTGTGTGCTGGGCTCAATCGTTTTCCAAAGCTTCATATTATAAATTGTATTTATTAAATATCAAAACTTAATTACAATGTATTTTTATAATTAAAAATATTTTTCAATGTGTTCTTAAATTTTTCAATTTTCAGTTTAGGCTGTTATTATTTGTGACTTATTTTGTTAAAAATAAACAATTAAATTTAAACTCTGATAAGTATATAATATTACAAGCTTATATATAGGTCTACAACATAGTATATAAAAATACATTTTTTAAATTTTATTTAAAGTATAAAAAAAAAATATTTTTTTACAGGTTAGTGAGATTGAAATTGATGACATACCGGATTGTGAAATTCTTAATGAAGAGGAAAAAATGGATGATGTTAATTTAGATGAAACCTCTTCAGTAATTAAAAGCTGGTCATCCTTAATAAATGAAGATTTGGAAACATTAATACCAGAATATGATTGTGTTTCTACTACAAAAGAAAAAGAAAGAAATGAAAGTGAAATTAAATTGGAGTTAGAAGGTATAAATTAATTATTTATAAACATATTAACTGGTGTATATATAAACAAATTTGTTTCAGTTACTCTAACTCCAAAAATAGACAATATAAATTCAAGAACAAATCAAATTTCTACTAATGATGCCAGTGATAATGCTATTGGGGACATTGTACAAAAAATTCCAAAAAGTGATTCTACTCCAGTGGTTGTTCGAATGCCTAGTGTTATTCAGCCTCTTGTTATTACTTCTTCTAACAGTTCACCATTGCCCAGTACAAAATCTATACTTATATCTCCATTACTTCAGTCATCTTTAGAACGTAGTATGCCAAATGATTTTTCATTCATCAATAAAATTTCCAATTTATCTACAGCCCCTTCTGATCGGCCAATAAGTCATACCTATGTGTCATCAATCAAATCACAAGTAAGCATTAAATAGTATAATTCATAAATATTTTAGTTGAGTCATAAGACTCGTAACAAATATAATTTACTAAATATGATTGTATTATTTATACTTAAAGGTTAGCTCAAGTAGTTGTGTAACAAGTAGGACTAGTAGTAGAGCAACATTGAAGCAACCACCAGGTGCTGTTAATTTAGAAAGAAGTTACCAAATATGTCAAGCTGTTATACAAAATAGTCCTAACCGTAATCAACTTAGGTGTCAACTAAAACCACCTCCCTCAGTGTTGATGGGAAAAAATTCTATGTATGTATATTATAAAAATGATATTGTTTTTATTTATTGAGTTCATACTTAAAATGTTATTGTAGTATACGAAATGGACCAGCAAAACCTATACGAAACATTAATTTAACTAATAGTTCTCAACCATTGGTAGTTAGACATTTGTTCACATCTTCTCGTGGCATTCCAGTAACTATGTCTGTAGTACCTCCATTTTCATCTGATGTAAGTTTTAACATTATAATATTATGAACATGAATAACAGTGTAAACTTAATAATATATTTATTTTACATAGTTGATAGTCATTATATAAATACATTTTTTTTCCTAAAATAAACTAATGTTCAAGTATTTTTTTAAACAAAGTATAATCCTAATCATATTATTATTTACCACTGTTTATTTATATAATTTGCAGCAACAACAACAACTTACTGAAAAACAAATGGGGCAATATCTTTTGGTTCAAAGGTCAGGTGGAATAACAGGTATTCGCCGGTCATCTAGTGCACCTCCTACTAATAACAAAATATCACCTATTATAAATGGTGGTCGACCAGCAAGTGTTGGTATACAAGTGTCTACTTATCCACAGTCCCAGCCTACAAATGATTGTTCTTGTAGTCTTAATGCTATGGTAGTATGTAAAAAATGTGGAGCATTTTGTCATGATGACTGTATTGGTCCCTCTAAACTTTGTGTAACATGCCTTATTCGATAATTATGTTTTTTTGTTCCAGTTAAGTTATAAAATATTCAACAAAACCTATTGTTTTAATAGAAATAAAGAAATAATTGAAAATTAAAATGTACCAAAACATTTCATAAAAAATAAATAAATAATAATTTTGATAATATAACGAGTATTGTACTTACTCAAAATATAATTTGTAACCATGTGTTATTTATTTTTAATTTTTAAAATATATTTGAATTCATAAAATAATTTAAATCAAACAATTTTTCATACATAATTTATTACCTTTTAGCTGTTTTGTTATTATTATTATAATTTAGATATGTATTGTGTTAATATATGCAATATTAATATAATAATAATAATTTAAATAAATTTAAACATTTATAATTCATAATACAATTGATTTTTTTTTAAAAAAAAGTTAAAGTTAATATCTTATTAAATTGTGTAAATAAAATTTATTCTTGTATAATAATTCTAAGACATTCAATTATAAAATCTGCCTAATGTTTGACTAAATATTATTATATATATTAAATTCAATAATAACTTATTGGTTGTCACATATATAATATATGTTTTTATCAGTGTTACATTTCTTAAAATTATTGTTGAAAATACTTAAAATGTTTATCAAGTTTTCAATCACATACTTATTTTCTAAAAACAAAAAAAATTCTTTAAATTAATATATTTTTTTGAATTAATGATATGTTTAATCCTAAAAATATTTAATTTAAGAGCTTAATGCAAATTTTGCACAATGTATAAAACTATGATTCTAGATTTTGATCCAATTTAAGTATTTGGAAATGTTCTTGTATTTTGTATAAAGCTCAAATGTATAATTTTACCACTAATAATATTCATATTGTAAAAAATTGTTTTTTTTTATGGTATTACAAATATTTGTTAATGCTATTTCATCACTGGAATTCAACTAAAAATAGTTATAACCATTTTCATACATAATAAAGAATACTATACTATTATAGATATAATGATTATATTTTGTAATTTATACAAGATGCGACACTGTTTGTTTCCTTTTGATTATTGAATAGTTGTGATTCATAAATTCATATTTTTTGTTATTTATATTGGATACTACCTATTCAAACACACACACACACATATATATATATACTTCTATAAAGTTTAAATTGTATTACTTGTAATTATCTCTTAAGTCATAAGTTTAAGTATTGCCAACTATTAATCATCCATTATACCAACAGTTATGAATGTATTTGTTAAATGTAAGAATTACAAGTTTCTTTAAATAAATAGCACATGATCCATTATCTACTGATATTTTGACAATAATATATTTGCAAAATATCTTTTGGTGATAGAATTGTATAATCTTACTTTGTTCTGTTAAATGTAAAGTTAAATAATAATAATTTGATTTTGTATACAATGAAATCATGTCATTAAATTATTATTTATTATATTAAATTAATATTGTCAGTTTATACAATCACTTGACAAAATTATCAAAATTAATATTCTTTCTAAAATTCCTAATATGATTAGAAATGCTTTGTATTACCTTCATTGATTAAAAAAAAAAAAAACGAATATTACATTTTTTTTTTATCTTGATATTACTTTAGATTTGCTTAAAATTTTGTTAAGTTTGTGTTTTTATTTTAAACATTTTTTTACCTATTTAAATGTTTTTTATTTTCATTATTTGATGTATCCTATATATAAAAAGTCTAATAAACAAATATTTACTTAAATAAAATTAGTGATTTGTTTCTTTGTTTAAAAATTATTTTCCTCTTATTTTATTATTTGTATAAAACATTTGCATGTATCAAATAATTTTTTTTTTAATACTTAAAAATATTATTTGTTTATTATTTTTTTAATGTTCATCTTATATAAATAAGATATCTAATGTTATAAAATGAAATATATATGTTATTTCTTTTTATTTAGTTTTATAACACTACCTATTAGCTACTAAAAATGTAAGGATTTATATAATAAGTATATATAATGTAAACTCTGTAAATAGATATTACATTGATTCTCATTCTGTTTATGCTATTGTCATAATATTGTTAACCAACTTCATTAAATATAGACATAATTCATATTCAGTTGTTGTATCAAAATTATTTTAAAATTCATCCTGCATTATTTCTACCTATTTATCATTGAAAAACATAAAAATTATAATAAATTTTAGATTATATGATAACATAATCATTTTAAATATTGCATATTACTTTCATAATGATAATAATTAATCATCCACTTATCCCAGCTCAGATACCAAAATTAGGAAATCTATACGAAACCCAAAAAGTCTGGTGTTCAGAAGATTAAAACCTAGTTAATTGATTTTAAAATAAAGTTATATTATACTTTAAGAAGCATATCACTGTTCTCAGGTTTGGTAATATAGTTTATAATATACTATATTATGTAATGATAAATCATTGCAAATAAAAAAACTATTCTGAGTGGAGTTTGATTTAACTTGTTAAATGGTAATTTTAAATTAGAACATATTTTATAAATATGGAACAATAAAATAAATTTTATTTTGAGACTCAAAAGGAGACTATTTCACAGGTAAAATTTATTGATTAGGTTATCATAGAATATTTATTGTGTATTCATATTTTACATTAGTTTTTGGTGTATGTTTTACTGATAGTGACATGTTATGTTTGTTTTATCCAATAAATATAGTCCAGATTGGGATTCACTTACATCATCATCATCATCATCATCATCATCATCCGCTTACATCATTTTCATGTTTAATTGATTAACCTAATTCACACCCTAATAACTAATCTACCTACCAAACAAATGACTTAGATATGTAAATAGACTTAAGAAACTAAATAGTGCCTTAAAGAGTTGATGGATAATATATTGTACATATCATACTCGTTTATTTTCCGTAGTAAAAATATACGTTAGTATTAAATATTGTTCGTACAATATTCGTGTGTTTTAACTTGTGTAAGGTATAAATATACAAAGATGGTGATATTTACACTATAAATGGCGTGACATAGGAATATATTACGTCCAGTCCAACCGCTCCCATATGTATACATTACATAATATATCTACACAGTTACGCATTAAACGAAACACGTGGAGTCACCTAGATACTTGGATCGGAATGGATATCTTTCACTGGCCCAGATAATTGTTCTCAAGTGATTTCGGCTTCTTGAGGGAGGGGGACGCTCAAAAAAAAAAAAAATAAATAAATAAATAGGCAATAGTCTTCACCATTCTGTATAAATACTAGAAATAAACATGTATATACTCGTAAGAAATGTTCACTCAAATTACTAAAATGTACAAGAGTGTCGCAACGATAGCCCCGAGGCCTAAATATCTGTACTTGTGCAGCGGCCGCATGAAGTTGGTCTGCGATTTTGTTTGCTAGAGGTTCAGGCTTGTTTTTGCAGAGAACCTAGCGGCTCGTAGAGCCTAAATCCGTCGTCCGAACGACGACAGGCCAAATATCTGGTATAATACCATGATACCTACTCATATATACATGAAATACGTATACCGTCGCATTACTCCGGATATTTAGGAATGCGACATGATCTCCAACGAGAAGCCGAGATAAAAATTAGTATTCCTTAACAGATACCTAGGCTGTGCAAATGCCGGATGGAATACAAGGTACCTTTATACCTACACAGAGTGGAATATGCCGAAACTATAGTTTCGAGCATACCTAACTAAGTTTAGACTTGCTGAAGTTGTGCAGTAGCCATGTGAAGTTGGTGTGCGATTCCGTCTGCTGGAGGTTCAAGCAATATTTTTACCGTACTATTCAAGTAATATTATTGTAATATAATATGTGGCATTGTGGTTATTGTGATTTTATAATTTTATAAACACGACTAATCATTGCTAACGAAAAAATGATTCTAAAAGGAGTTCAGTTGATAGTGTAGTTGTTTTGTCAACAATTTATATGTCATATCATTTTAAAATAATTGCAATAGGGAATATATATTTTCTTTAAAAATATTTGTTCAATATTATACCTATTTTCCCGTTTTTCTAATTTATCGAGAAAAATAGTGAGAAAATAAAAAATGACCTCTCCAAAGTACCTCCCTAGTCAAATTTCCTTTTCTATAAAATGTTATTAATATAAATCAGAGTAAAATTGCTGGAAGAAAAGTTGTTCATAAGAAAACAAAGGCTGTAATATTTTTTTCAACTAATATCTACATTTTGTACATTGTCCTGTTTATCCTCAGTTTTTTTTTTTTTTTTTTGGTTTTTCATATTTATTCACAAAACCCTTCAGAAAATCATTTCCGGTAGAAAAGTTGCACAGATAAAAAAAAATAAATAATACTAAACATCATTGTAAAACCATACGCTTATTGGCTCCACTCAAAATCTAAAACACAAGATTCCACCTAAAAATAATGCTTGTTGGTTCTACTTTGACTGTATCAAGACGAATAAAATTGAAATGTGGGCTAAATGTTAAAAATGTGACCATGAACTGCAGGTAAGAGAGGACCATTTAAGTTGACATTTATATGTATACATTTCTAATGGAAATTATGATGATAAATACATAAAAACAAGTTTACACAATTATTAATTGTTTGTTACGAACATATGATGTAAACATATTTAGTTTATTGTTTGTCATGCAATGTCATGCAATTAGGCTTACATGTAACAATTGCAAAAATAAAAAAAAACAAAATCATGTTGAAAAATCAAATAAATAAGATCATAATATGTTTGAACATATCGGCACGTCCTACAAAGAACATAACTCAATTTTGCCAACTGTTTAGTGTAGCTATTTTAATTTTTAGAATTCAACAATTATTTAGATAGGACATTTTATCCTGGAGTTATTAGCCATAGGACGTTTGGTCCCCGACATATTTTGATTATAGGACATTCAGTTCTCAGGTTTTTTAAATCGTTATTATTTATTAATTTCTTTAAAGTTTATTATTTTACTAATAATTAATACATTTTTTTTGAATAAACAATTCTGTAATGTCTAATACAGTACATACTACATAGGCTGAAGATAAATAATTAAGATTTTACGTGCATTATACAGCCAAACAGGTTTGTGAGCTGAAATTCTAAATTTATATTAATACATCAAATTATGGGGTTTTCAAATAGATATAAAATACTTAGTACACCAAAAGTTATTAAGATAAATCTATCCGATAAAATGTTTTTATACTAACTATTTCAATAATTCTACACACTTACTGTACACAGTTATATTTTGTTCATATTGTAATGTGTATATAGTACAAATATGGAATATTTAATTACAAAAAGAAATAAATTTACTAACATTTTATAATTTGAACAAAAAAAAGTAAAATTAGGAATCCGGTGGATGTGTGTTCACAAAGACTTGTGCAATGGAACAATTTTAACAGACAATGAAATAACTACCGTTTTTAAATTTGGAGCTCACAGTCATGAAGGTGATACAGATTTTATTAACGCAGAAAGAGCTTAATGTACTGTGAAGAACACAGCAGAGTAAAATTAAGATTTACCATTTTGAATTTACGCATGGAATGTGATTAATTTATCAAACAAAAACAAAAAAATGCATAAAATGGTGTTTACGGAGTATTCACAGCAGTATCTATCTAGAAATTTCAAAAATAGACAATATTTTACTGGAAGAAACATACTGGAGTATAACTGGTTAAGAAAATGCAGTCTTTTTTATTTTATGGCAATAAAAATAGTGAAAACGTGTTATAATTTTCATTTCACAAACGTGCATTGATGTATTAAAAACATACCAAAATGATTTATATGGACAGAATATTTTCTATTTGCCCTTCTGGATTTTATTAAGTTTATATTTTACATGCAAGAAAATATTATTCCTGTGGTGTACGCTTTGCTTCAGCATAAAAATAAAGAAACTTACATTGAATTAATGGCTGCTCTAAAAAATAAATTTGAATCACTTTCAATAATTTCAATCGATTTTGAACATTCTATGATATTGGCAATTAAGCAAGTAGTGTATTTTGATTCAAATTATGTCAACGGGACACATAAATCCATAATAACGGAGTACAGCACAACTCGCTTTTTACGACATCTACCAATATTTTCACCACACATATGGAAAGTGTACAATGCCATAAAAGAAGGCTATTGTTGGACCAATAAAAAGTCAGAAGGGTTCAACAATAAATTAAAAAATATTGTAAGAATTAAACATCCTAACATATATATATATTTATTGAATCAATACAGATGTGCAATGCGTCTGTAACTACAGTATTGATACAAACAAAAAAAAAAAAATGAAGTAATAAATGTACCGAAGATAGTTAGATTTAAGGATAAGAATCTACAATCATATTGTATAGGTTTTAAATATAATGAAGATAATGACATTTTATACTATTTAAAAAACATATGACAATTGACCTAAAAATAAATGTATAATTTACCTTAGTATTATAGTATTTGATTTTAATTTATTCATTTTTATGACATTTCGTGTTGACTTAATATAATTGTAATTTATTTAAATCTTGAATACTTGTAATTATATCACATTAAGTTGTTCATTAAAAATGTATGTATTTAGATTATCAAAGTATGCTGGGGACCAAACATCCTATAGCTAATAACTCTTTCTATTTTATAACCCGATAAGGTTAGGTGATGTTAGATTCTGAGTGTCGCGAAGGACTAAAAGTTTCATTAAAATATGTGGTTTGAACCAAACTGCCTGTAGAGTTTACGTTCGATCTAGTATAACACTCATATATTATAGCTACATGAGATACGTATATCGTCTCATTACCCCGGATCATGGTTACCTACTGATGTAGATAACTTCGGTCCCCGGATACATGGGAATTAGACGTGTCCTCGATTGATTGCGCGGCCTCCCGGGAGGGAAGCCTTCACAAAAATTTATCTAGAAGCTTATTTGCTACATGTGCAAATGCCAGGATAAACCATTATATATACTTGCACAAAGTATCCAATGTGCCGAAACGATAATTTTGAAGCCTATTTATATCGTTTGGACTTCTTAAAGTTATGCAGTAGCCGTGTGAAGTTGGTCTGAATATCCGTCTGCTGGAGGTTCTAGCCGTATTTTTTCCGTTAATCAAGAGGCCAATAAAGTCCGTGTCCGTCGGAAGGCCAAATTTCTGGTTAGGGGTCCACCAGTGGCCGCACAGGTCGCGGCCGTCAGTGGCCGGCGAAGCAAGTTTCCTACTTAACGCTCTCTACCGGCGCCATATACCGATAACGAGGAATGATTCGTACGACTTTCGCGCCACCAGCGACCACCAGCGGTGGTGTCACGCGGTTTAGCATACTCTGGGCACAGAATAAAACATCGATTTTCTCTCCCCCTTTGTAGCGCCATTTCTCTGTTCATAGTTAATCTTCTTTTAAACTGCTGTTTTCGCGATAAAGTTCTTGGGTGACATTTTGTAACATGTTAATATCGACTTCTATCGTCGGTTTCTTATACCGAATAAACCTTACTGAATAAAAATTACGTTAAAAAATCAAATAATTTATATATCTATTAATAACTCAAAGATAGCTCAATGTTTTGAAAATTTTACCATGTCTAGAATAGGCAAAAATAAGGTTATACGAGTACAACACCCACCAAGTAGGCTTTTATTGTACCTAGCTACCTTGGTGTGATCTAAATCAGGGGAGGTGCGAAGTGTTTTTACATTGAATCATCGATTTAATTGATTACGATTTGTATAGACTATGTTATTATTTGCTTATTTGTGGACCGTCTGTTGCCCCAGTCGATTTAAATTGTTATTCAAAATTGTATTTTAAACATATTCTGCTAGAAAAGTTAAATAAAATGGTTTTAAAAAATAAAACTATTAATGGAAAATTATTATTTTACAAAAAACAAAACAAAAAATATAAATAGGTAGGTGCCTTAATAAACCATGAAGTTAAACAAATTTACTTGATACTAACTAATACATTTTACAATGCAGTTGCTCTTATTTCACTCGATACATCAAATAAATTAACATAAAAACGTTTTCCTGCTGCGTCGTATTTGCTATTTTAGTTTTTGATATAACACGACGTGATTGACCAATATTGCTATCTGCAAATAAAGCCACAGAGACATTATCATATATTTTAATATCATACATTATTTGTTTGGCTTTTTTACGGATTTTATTAAACTTTATGAACACGATTAGATAGTCGTGATGTTAGGTTCTGAGTGTCCCGGACGATGACAAGCCAAAGATCTGGTATAATACGTATAATAGGAACCTACCTACATATTACTCATACCGTCTCATTACTCCGGATGTGTTTAAAAATGTGTAAACAATAGTGTTTGGGATTTTGATTTCCTATCGGCACAGGACAGGAAATTTTTATTGAATAAAAATGTCAAAACATATAAATATTTAAGTTAATTTTGCTAAAATATGTAATAAAAACATATAGTATTTAACATTAAAATTGGTATTTTTAATTATTTTTATTTCTAAAAAAAAGCACCTACTGTAGATATAGGTTTATTATACAAATTATTTTAATTTTATTTATTTATCTTCTTCTTGGAAACAACGTACATTTAGAAATTTTCAAATTTAAAAAAACGGTGGTTAGGTCTCAACTCTTAAAATTAATTTGTAGCCGCTGAAAAAGCGTTCATTGTCGACCGAGGATAATTGGGCAAATTTCATATTTGACATGTCGGATGGTGTAAATTCAATTTTCATTTTTATTTAGAAGAATATTTCTAATAGTTTTTATGATTTATAAACTAGCTAAGGTGGACCGTCATCACTATCATTATGCTCTACCGATATGCACAAATATCATCAATTCTTTCGTATTCGCGGGACTACGATGACCTTTATTCGTGCAATAGAGTGCGCCAATAATAATATTGCGTAGTATACATTTATTTTTTGATCTTTCGAAACAAGATTTATCGTAATTTAGTGACTGAGTGGGATTATGTTGCTTTGATGGTAAAATTTACGGCCGAAATGGTTTAAATGACCACCAGAAAAGAATGTAAGTATGCCGTAATCTCGGTTTAAGCCATCAGCAATTATAGTATTTTAATAATACACGAGGGTTTCAATTTCCTAAGTATTTATTTGAAATACGAACGCGTGTAGTAGTACGTACATTAACCGTATGGAACCGCCACTATAGTGTGGAGAGAAAAACGTACCAGAGAGAAATATTCCTATTAAATTGTGCACGTTAATATAAAAATATTGATTACTATAATATTGTTATAATATTGAACATTTTAGTACTACCTATGTGTCAATGTCAAAAATAAAGGGGTTTTAGAGGTGAGTGGTCAGGTAGTGTTCAGGTATTTGGCAGCTATATGCGAATTTTTGGGTATATTACTGAATTCTGGTCACCTGTGGTACCAGGAACTCATAATATAAGAAGGTACCGATTTTTCTGTTCGGCTATTCTGACTTTATCTCGGTAACCGATAAATGTATTGCTCGTGTAATACGTGTAAATGTGG